ATTTTCTATGTTTTTATTTTCTGTTCTTGTATTGTATTTGTGAATTTCAGTTTGGCTTCATAGCAAAAAATTAGAAACACAATCAGTGTCACTGGCTTTAGTGCTGAGGTCCTTTTATAACTGTGTCAGTGTGGATGTAAAACTCTACGCTGACGACACTGCTGACAAACAGCAGAGCGAGCTGCTTTGAAGCTACAACTGCTATAAAATGATGATACAGCAGCTTGATCAGTTTCTATTCTAATTTGTAACATGTTAAGAATGAACAAATAAATTAGAAATTGTCTTTGTATTGATGATGTTAATGTATGCAGGCTATGATCCTTTCCAACATGTCCTAATATGTTGTATTATGTTACAAGTTGGAGTCAGGCTGGAGAAACTGTCATTAAACTGTCACCTTTACAGAATCAATAAAACTGTTTGAATTAAAGACAACTTTCACAGTGAGTACTGAGAGCTGAAATCAAACTGAAGTTCCTGGAATGATTCTTTAACCAGAGTCGATGGTTGTAACTGTCATTGTGTTATTAATGTGAAAAAGTGCAGCTAACGGTGAGGAGGCTGCAGAGAGGAAACCCACACAGCCCGTCTGCTGCAGGAAAGGAAGTGTTGATTCGCTGTCAACAGTTTTTTATGAGTCCTAATAACCACTGAGAACAGATTCATATCTGCTGCTGTACACACTCATGAACTCCTCAAACTCTCTGCTTAAATATTGTTTTCTAAAAATGTATAGGAATGATTTTTCATTAGTTTATAAGTTTTGTTTTCCTTTTTTGTTCTCTGCAATCTTAACTTACACACTCTAGTAAGTGAAATTAAATGAGGAATTGGTGACAGTTTCAAGATGATTTCACATCGCACATTAAATATTAAAAAGTGAGATTTCATAATGATTGTGGGAAGGGGCAGGAGGTATGACGGAGATTATGCTAGAGTGTCAGTAGAGGGAAAATACATATCTCAAGTTTCTCAACTGATAAGAAATTACATTGGAAAAAACTTAAACAGGGATCATCAGAAAACTACTAATGAACTTTTTTGCTGAAAAAAACAATTTGTAAGATTGTCAGCTCTCTCAAACTCTAACGAGGCCTCTGTCCTTCTTATCAGAAAACTGAACATTGTGTCAGTATATGACATTTTATTCATCAGATATTTGTGTTTTTCTCTACCATCATCGTTTCTTCAAATTGAATTAACAGAAGTTATTTCAAGACATGTTTCTCTCTTGATGGTTAATTCATGATGTCTAATTTTTTGTTTTTATTGTTTATTTTACTCATTAGGGGAGGGGATTTCTGGCTCCTTGACCTCTGTTGACAAGTCTTATTTCTTCATGATCTGGATTTTAAACAATCTTATGAGTCAGCAATAAATAACATAAATTAATAATAAAGGTACATTTATGATATATTTAATATCATATTAAGAGATGGTTTTTCTATCATGTATGTTATAACCCTGAACAGTTTGATCATTTTCAACATATTGCAACTGTCTCACCAGACGAGACCTGTGTGACATTACATGTCTCTGTACGGTGTTAGATAGGTGTCACACCAATAAATAAGCTCTTCCACCATGGCTGTGTGACAGATTGGAAACTAAAGTTTATCATATGGTGGATTTCTGTGTTTGCTGCTGGTGCTGACATTAAACATCAGAGAGAAACACCACCACCCTGTGGTTAGTCAGAGGAAGTGCAAGGGTATCCAGATGACTCCAATCACCAAAAGCAGGGGCGGACTGGGACAATAATTCAGGCCGGGAATTTAGTACCATCCCAGGCCACCACCACCCGATTAACGCAAAACACCAAGAGTGAGTTAGGTTGGGCGCCTACCGATGTAAGAGTGTAAAATAATAAAGCAAAGGCTCCACATGCGCCCACACACAGCTTTTTCTGTTTCTTTCCCCTACAAAATAAATGTTTCTGTTGTGCTGCAATAACCTGTACTCAAATCACATAAACTGACATTTCTATTCTATTTCATTTACTACTACACTTTTAATCCCCCTAAACTTGAGACCAATCCTATTTTTAATGTAACAGGTACCAGACTAGTTATAAATTTGACCACTGTGTCAACCATAGTATCATAGCAACAGTGAGAGGTACACAGGTGGCGCACTGCAGATGTGTAGGTTTATTCTCTGTAACATTAAACAAGGAAACTTCAAACACACAGAAAGAAATGTAAAATATGATACAATAGTCACAGTGAGTAAAAAAAAAAAAAAAGAAAAGGTTACAACGTTCACTCACTCATTTTTTTTTTTTTTTTTTTTTTTTTTTTTTTTTTTTTTTTTTTTTTTTTTTTTTTTTTTTTTTTTTTTTTTTATATTTTTTTTTTTTTTTTTTTTTTTTTTTTTTTTTTTTTTTTTTTTTTTTTTTTTTTTTTTTTTTTTTTTTTTTTTTTTTTTTTTTTTTAATTTTTTTTTTTTTTTTTTTTTTTTTTTTTTTTGGTGGTTGGTTTTGTTTTTTTTTTTTTTTTTTTTTTTTTTTTTTTTTTTCCCCCTTAAAATTTTTTTTTTTGTCAGTGCTTTTAACTTTTTAAACCTCTCCCTCTCTACTCTACCTTTCCTCTTGGGCTGTCGATCTCGCACCATTTTCCAAGCATGCAGAACTACAGGTGAGGGAGGAGGTGTGTGTGTGTGTGTGTGTGTGTGTGTGTGTGTGTGTGAGCTTCAGCGAGGCAGATACCCTAATGAGCCGCACGACGGATTGTTTATTTCAAAATCAAGCGCAACCCGAACCGAGCCTTTGGTATCGACCATCTGCAATTGCCGAGCGGGCCAGTTGGGCGGCCAGGCCACCAGTCCGCCACTGACCAAAAGTGAATAATGAATTTCAAAAATGAAGCATTATTTTCAATCCTTCTTAAGAACTATGTAATGCACAATAAGAAACCCTACCTCTCCCAGAAATGTACTTTTGTAGAATGCAGTAAAGCCTGAAAACTCTTTCTCCTAAAAGAGAGCAAACTCTACCGGAGCAGATTGTTTCTGGAGGGCCAGAGCTCACTGATTACTGTACAGAAACACAACTTCATCAGTGATTTGGGTGAAACTGCATCATATTTTATGAAGGAAATATGGTCTGGTTTTCCCACTGACGTCCTCCGGCTGCTCTACCTACCTTAACTCTTACTGCTAATGTAGCTGCTGTTAGCTGAGTCCTAATGTAGCTGCCACAGTGGCAAACCAGGCTGGTTCTGGCTAACCCCTCAAGACACACAAACAATTTGTATTCAAAATATTCAACTAAACAACAAAAATGCATGTTCAGTCAGAAAGATTGGGCCAAAGATGGGTCCCTTTGTAGCTGTAGAGGAGCGTGAGGTGGAGGCTATCAGTCGCTCTGCTGATAAAGCAGTGGAGGACAGTGAGAAGATCTTCACTCAGCTGATCCGTCTCATCCAGAAAAGAAGCTCCGATGTGAAGCAGCAGGTCAGATCCCAGCAGGAAACTGAAGTGAGTCGAGTCAAAGAGCTTCAGGAGAAGCTGGAGCAGGAGATCACTGAGCTGACAAAGTGAGTTGAGGTGCTTTAACCTCCACTACATCCCTGGTTAGCAGGATGAAGGCGCCCTCTTGTGTTGTGAATCAGTTTTCACATTTAACACTGATGCTTTGTTCTCAGGAGTGAACCCAATGTGTGATCCTGAGAGCTAGAGTGTATCGTCCATAGGTGAAATAGCTGCTAAAGGGCTGGTAAATACTAATAGGTTAATGGACTGTACTTGTGTAGCGCCTTTCTAGTCTTCTGACCACTCAAAGCACTTTTTCCACTACAGCCACATTCGGCCCTTTTCACACACATTCACACAGTGATGTCAAAGCCCATCGAACAGAAACTAACTCATTCAGTATCTTGCTCAAGGACACTTTGACATGCAACGGAGGAGCCAGGCATCGAACCAACAACCTTCCAATTCGTGGACGACCCGCTCTATTTCAGGCTCTACTGCTTTACTAATGATTTACTAATTTACAGCAAACTGAGAAAATGTAATTAGTTTGCATTGAGTATGTCTGAACCCAATTGTTACTACACTACAGTGTAGGTTTAGCTAGGAATAGCTAGCAGCAATAGCAAACTCTTATGGTAACTCTATGAGGGCTTAAAATCAATATTCTCTAATTATTTCACCATAAAGTACTTGTTTGCAAGTATAGCTGGATGTCTACTGCGGTGGAAGACTAGTGGTACTGAATGTACAGACTTTGGGACATTTTTAGACTGAAATCGAAAATTTGCATATTGGCCAAAAATATATGGTGAAATATTAATGTTGCACAATTAGGAATAATTGCCTCCAGTACTGTGCCTCACACGGGGCACCATTTTGCCATAGCTAAGTGCTATGATAAATCACAGCGGTGATTCAAAGTTTATTAAATGTCAAAAGATAACAGAAAATGACTTTAATTTACATTAAATATCTTCAGGGCACCACCCTTAAAGAAGAGGAGCCAATAATTGATTGATTCCAGCTCATAAAATATACTACACTATTCATTTAGTAATCAGATTAATAGTTAAATAAATTACAACCAAAATCACAATTATTAGTTTAAGTGGAAGGATGTGGTATTCTGCATAGAAGAGGCTGGTATAATCTGTGTTTCGAAACAGCGCCCCTCGTAGTTCGATCTGTGGCACTGCACCACCTCATGAATTATTCACAAGTGTGTACATTTTATCAAATTCCTGTTACTCTGATTTGAACACAGAATCATCAGTTATCCAAGAATCCTCAGGTGTCGCAACTTTAATATAACTTTTACTGCAGATATCTTGTCTAACTGACCTCAGCTTTGATGTAAGGCTATCTGTTAACAAATGGAGCATACAGAAAGTCTAGTGAACCCAGGCTAAAACTGACTTGACCTATGTCTTATCTCATAATTCAATTTGTAAGAGGCCCTACCCAGAATTATTAGAATTTTTCTCCCATTTATTTGGAAAAATAAAAACTGCTGCATGCGAAGAGAATGTGGGAAGCTTTATTTAAGAAATTCAGGGGAAGCTCCAGCTCGTACTAGTCACATAGTACCTAGATGCTACTTCGGCATAATTTTCTATACACTAGTGCACCTAATTCATAATACAGAAAAGATTTGTATTCAGCAAAAAGAAACAACATGTACTCTAGAAACTACAATGTCTGCTTTCACACTTCTGAAAAGTAAGTTGGCATCCACCGTGTGGCACCTGGGGACCAACTCCAGATCTGAGCCAGTGGTAGTCCACTCAGCAAGGCCCTGCCCTAACCCACACCCACTGTCTCCTGTTCAGCTGAGAAGCACCCATGAACTCAGAATTTAATCCACAGTCCCTTAAATGACTAATTGAGTTTACAGATCTCAGCAGTGTCTTTATGATAACAAAGACAAAGTCCAGCATAGAGAGGCTGAGTGAATGTGGTCTGGACTCTGTGGAGGAGAGTCATGGTTTCAGAGATGCTGTAGAAGGACAGAATACCTGCATTGTGATCCAGATACACTCCAACTCTGGAGGACAGAGGACCTGAGACAGGAGTTTGGACATTGTTGCACCAAAAGCTATAACTGTTATAGTCATATTCTAACGCCCAAGATTTGTCATTTAATCCAAATCCACATTCATTAAAGTTCCCTTCTCTGCTGATATTCTTGTATGCAACTGCTACACGGATTCCTCCCCCGCTCCACTCCACCTCCCAGTAACAACGTCCAGGCAAACGCTCTCTACTTAGGACTTGACAATATATAGGGAATCTTTCCGGGTGACTAGAATAAGACTGTATTTGATTCATTGCTGTGGCTTTTCTTTTCCCCTCAGATAATAACATACATTGGTGTGATGTGTGATGATCCAGTGTGATTTCACATGAATATTGTAAGAATCCAGCTCTGGTCTTGGGCTCTGGTTGTGGCAGTAAAACATCCACTTCAGTCACTGTCAGTGAGACGTTTGTCCATTTGTCCCTCAGAACGTCCTGTAGTTTATCTCTGAGCTCTGAAACAGCCGCTGTCACATCCTCAAAGTACCTCAGAGGACGGATATTGATGCTGGATGTAGATTCACTGAGTGCTGACAGTGAGGGGTAGTTGTGTAGAAACTGGGTGTGGTCCTCTGTGTGTGACAGCTTCTTCATCTCAGCGTCTTTCCTCTTCAGCTCAGTGATCTCCTGCTCCAGCTTCTCCTGAAGCTCTTTGACTCTACTCACTTCAGTTTCCTGCTGGGATCTGACCTGCTGCTTCACATCAGAGCTTCTTTTCTCCATGAGACGGATCAGCTGAGTGAAGATCTTCTCACTGTCCTCCACTGCTTTATCAGCAGAGCGATTGATAGCCTCCACCTCCCATTGAAGCTCCTTCACGTCTTTCTCTCTGTCCTGGATTCTCTGCTGGATGTTTTGTCGACTCACCTCGAGCTCTCTCTGCCTCTCAGTCCTTTCTGCTGCAGCTGAGACTGTGTCGTGGCCTTTATGTTCATCCACAGAGCAGAGATAACAGATACACTGCTGATCAGTACGGCAGAACATCTTCATCACCTCATCATGACGAGAGCAGATGTTCTCCTGGAGATTCTTGGAGAAGGTTTCCCGGTCCAGCTGAACTCCTTTCTGTGCCATTTCCCTTCTCAGTGACAGCGACTGTCTGAGTTTAACTTCCTCAGATGATATAACGATATAAGTATTTGGTCCTGATATAAACAACATGTGTCTCTGCAGTGAATGGGGCCTGTCAGTCCTTGCACTGCACCACATATTGGTTACACCCATCCACAAACTGTAGATCTGAAGGGGAGGGAACAAACAGAGCTGGCTGTGAGAGAGCAGGGAGGAGGAGGGAGGAGGAGGGAGGAGTTCTCCAGTGCTGATTCATTCCAGGAAGAGGAGCAGCGTCCCTCCACCCTCCCCATAACCCCTCTCACTCTGTTCATTTGTGTGGATGCTTCAGTGTCACACAAACCAAATAGCCTTAAGTAAGAGTGGGTAACAGTGTAGCACCTCTTCAGTGTTCAGGTTGGAGGAAACACCACATACCTGTAATAAAATAAACAATAAAAGAAAGGAACTCTGCCAAGGAAGAGTGGAAGTGGGTTTTTATTTATTCAGTTTATCATTTTATCGGTTTACACTTTATTTTACGTTTTAAAATTTTTCTGAGGCAACGCAACAGGAAAAGGCAGGCAAATATAATCAATAAAATCAAATATGAAACTATTTTACACTCTCATGTATTACTGCAGGACTTCTAAGGTCAGTAAAAAGCAAAGCATTCTGGGTCGTTGCTCCACATTCACATTCGGTCCAGAGGAGCTCATTCGATTAAAAAAAAGTCAGTTTGAGTTAAAAGTCTGAGCAGGTTTGAGGTGGAAGAGCTGCTTTAATGAGCAGACGTGAAGTTAGGAAACTGACAGTGAAGATTTATGTGATAAATAGCAGCAGGCAGCCGTCCTTTGCACTGATATTATACTTTATTATTACTTTATTTAGTGTTTATTTAGCAGGGACACACAATACGTTTTACATCTGTAATCCCTGAGAAGCCACTCGTGAAGTCCAGGCTGAGTTTCTCAGTGGTCCCTGAAGGCAACAGTCCATTGATTTTACTGAACTGAACTTTATTGATACAGCACCGTTTATACAAACATGCAGCCTGAAGTATTTCACACAGCAACACATAAAAACAAAAATGAACAACTGAGGAAGAAAATGTTATAGATACTTGCTAACAAAATGAGAAGTGGCAGCCGGCTCGATTTTTCTTCAACACAACAATAAAGAAACATTTGCAAAACTAAAATGAAATAACAATAAAATATAAAACATCAAAAAGTAAAAACAACTAAGGCTATAACATTACTCCAAATTAAAAGCCAGATTTAAAAGATAGTTCTTTAACTTTGGTGATAAAATGTTGTCTTATGAATTAGCTGTGATTATGAAAACTAAACTTCGACTGCTGTATTTCATTAAAAACAGATCTTTGAAGAGATTAAATTAATTAACTGACATTATCTCCACACCAGGATCATTAAAACTTCCTGGAATTTAAATGCAAATAAACTTTATTTATACATCAGAAACATTATATTTTAGTTTATTCCTGCTCTGGTATTTATTTAATAGCTTCTATTATTAATGTCTGGTTTCATTTCTTTCCTTTTTGATAATGATTGATAATAATTTCTCTCCTTTTATTTAATTTCAGAAGTGGGATTTATTTAAATATTTACTCTGTTTTAACTCAACATGGCCACTAGATGTCGCCAGCAGAGAAATTCCTGAACTTGAGGTTTAATTTTAATCTGAAAACTTTTATTTTAAACTTTGTATCATTTCGTTTATTTGACAGAATTAAATTAAAACGTGTAAAATGTTCAAAGCAGGCACTAAATGAAACTACCATGGGGGTGTTTCCACTGTGTTTTGGGGGGATTTCGTTTTAAAGCTGCAAAATGAGCTCATACCGGAAGTCGTGGTGTCTTCCTATCAAAATAAATAGGACGGTCTGACATACAGAAGGAGGTGAGTCTGGAGTAATTCAAATAATACAGAGATGAGATTAAATCTGAATGTTTGTTTGTTTCCTAAATAAAGAATGACAGTTTGTTTATGAAAGTCACATATTTTCCATAATTATACATTAAGCCAATTAATCTTTTAAATGTGTTAAGAGGGTTAAATTTGGGAGAGTTGGGAGTCGTTCACTGTTCCCTGTATGCGTCTGTGGTTCCTCTCCTCATTATTAACATTATTAACTAATATTCTATAAACATTGTTTATGTACCTTTTACTTAAGTATGTAGGCTACTTCTACCTGCAACAACTGTAATAATTCCATTATTATTTACCTTCTCTATGACTTTATTAACTTATATACTTTACAACAATTCATTAATTAAAAACACTAATAAAATATTTTATATTATAGATGAAGAAACACAGCAGTAAAGTAATCAGCCTCACGTTTACCAGCTGTGACATTAATGTGATGAACACATGAATCTATCTGTGATTATAATCCGGTAATGTAATATATTTTATTATGAAATGTGCCATTCTGCATGATTAAAACTTTTACTTTTGTTACTTTAAGTAAAATATAAATACAGTAAATACTGTAAATGCTCATATATTCTATTTTATTGCATATAGAGTTTATATTTTATTTTATTTCTTTACTCTCTCTTTACTCTTTGCACTTCATCTCTTTGTGCTGCTGCATTTCCAACTTTTAGTCCTTTTTCAAGCCCTGATAAACTATTGTTCTTCATGCTTTTACTTTGACAGCCACTACCGGAACCCGTATGGTCCTGTGTTTTACTTTGACAGGGCCCGCTGTTTCCGGTGTGGGCGAGGCTCAGAGACAGCTGCAGAGCTCCGAGACCCAAAACCTTCAGTTTGTTTTTATTCAGCAGCAGAACAAATATTCTTAAAACCAAAAAAAACCTCCAGAAAACAAACAAATAAAAGAAGAAAAACAAACAAACAACGGAATCTCTTCACGTCCGGATCAGAAGCCTGCAGGAACTCTCCGGTGAGTCCGGTCCCGGTGAGTCCGGTCCCGGTGAGTCCGGTCCCGGTATTTCTTTGTCTGGATTTGATTTAAAATAAACATTAAAACTGGAGGTTTTATTTATTTATAATAAACTGAAGTTATTTTAAAATCTCTTTAATTTCAGACAACAGTTATTTTAGTTCTTCAGTGAGAAACAGTGAACTGCCTCCATTATTATTCTAATAACAATGTAATATTAATGACTTATAATGGGAATATTACAGGAATGTTGCAGTTAAAAACATCGTCTATATGCACAATGTAAAGCACCATAAGAGTCAGATATAGTTAGAATATATAGAATACAATATTTAATTTAATAGTCAGGTAGTAAAACACTTTAAGGCATTACAGCAATATTGTAAATAATAATAAAGACCATTAATATGAGAGGGAAATGTTAATAAATGCACTTCCTAGCAGCTCAAACACTAAGTATGAATATTATTGACCTAAAATGTATGAATGTGACATTATTAGGACAGTTATGTGTCAGTAATAATACTAATAAAGCCCCATTAGAGGGATTTTACTATAACCCTGCTGGAAGCTGTGGGGGAAATAAAAGCATCCAACAGGAAGTGAGCTGCTGATGGTGAAATGGTTTGATCCTCTTCCTGTTACGCATTTTCCTCCAACATCAGCAGCTCCAGCAGAGACAGTCTGCTGCTGCTGCAAGGCATGCTGGGAAACACAGAGCGGGGAGAGTCCAATATGATACCCACAGGGGGGGTTTAATAAATTAATAAATGTAATCTTGTTGTAAAGACTTCAAAGTGCAGAGATTTAATAACAAAATACCATGAAGCCAACAGGACTCTTATTTTGAAATATTATATTAATACAGTTTATTATTATTTTACATTCATTAACTGTTCTGATAATTCATTTGATTCAGTTTTCTTTGTGTTGTGGATGAAATGAAACATTAGACGACACTGACTCACATCTTTCAACCATTTTCTGACATTTTACGAACCAATCGATCGATCAGTTGAGAAAATGATCGACAGATGAATCGATAATGAAAAGAACCGTCAGTGTCAGCCTTTAAATTCTTTAGATTCTCCCTCTGGCGCCACCTGCACGTTGTTTGTGCTCTCCAGGACCGTTACTGTCCTTTCAAATCACGAGGAGCATTTTTCAGTTGGAACAAGAGAGAAGATGGGAAACTCCCTCCCTCCCTCCCTCCCTCCCTCTCTCACCCTCTCTCTCCCTCTCTCACCCTCTCTCTCTCCCTCTCTCCCCTCCCTCTCCCCCCCTCCCTCCCTCCCTCTCTCTCCCTCTCCTCCCTCCCTCCCTCCCTCCCTCCCTCCCTCTCCCTCTCCTCCCTCTCTCTCCCTCTCTCCCTCCCTCCCTCCCTCCCTCCCCCTCCCTCCCTCTCTCTCCCTCTCTCTCTCCCTCCCTCTCCTCTCTCTCTCCCTCCCTCCCTCTCCCTCTCTCTCTCTCCCTCCCTCTCTCCCTCTCCCTCTCCCTCCCTCTCTCTCTCCCTCCCTCCCTCCCTCCCTCCCTCCCTCCCTCATTCACTGTCACACAGAGGGTCTCTGTTTGCAGTCTCTGACCCAGTTCATCCGACTCTCAGAGAATATTTATGTGACACAGTTTGAACAAGAAGGAACATCTGCTCATTTACTCTCAGGTCTGTTAGCGTAGCTCCCAGTCTGCTTCCAGTCTTTATGCTTTATACTAAATCAATCAATTTCAATCAATAAATAATGACGGATTGAGATTGTTTTATTTTGACAGAGCTGCACATTGAATCCAGATGTTACTGAAATTGCTGATGTTTGTTTTGATGAAGGTGAAATGAGACAAACAGCTTTATGATGAAGTTCTCTGGTCTACTCACCTCCAGATGTTTGTTTGTTATAACGCTGATTCATTTCACAACATCTGTTAAAATAATGATGCTTTTATTGTGCAGCCGATATGAATCTGTGAGTCTGGATGAAACTATACAAACAGTAGAAATATTGATTAATAGAAACCACTAAATGATTATAAAAGCTGAAGACAACAAGAACATTAAAGAAAAATAGGATATTTTCCTTTTGGAACAATCTGCTTTCTTTAAGATATTAACATGAAGCATTTTATTGATTTTATTGTCAGAATAAAAGCATCAGTCGACTGTAAAGGACGTAAACATGTTTACTGAGTTCCTGCCAGCTGGAGCCTCAGTCGGACTCTCCCAGGTTACCTGAGTCAGAAAGTCTATTACAGGTGATCCTGGATGACCAGCTGCATACTCATTACATCACACATTAGAGTTAAAGGTTCACAGAGGGAAATTAGGAAACTCAAACATTTTCTACATGTTTGTTTAAATAAAATGTGGTGTAAAACAGGCTGTGAATGATATATGAGCAGATCAGAATACAGAGAGGAATAACACGGGAAGGTTTGGAGTCTGTAGGAGCTGCTGAAGTGAAGATTTCTGAGGTCAAAATTTAAACTAACAGATATCAGCATGAAACTTCCCCAGTTGATTACTCACATTAAGACAATTATTTTCTAGTAATGTTACAGTGTAATGCTATGTAAACACCTAAATGTCCCCTGATGTCTCACTGTCAGCTGGTTTCTGGAGCACATTGTGTCACAGGAAACAAACATGTGACTGCCGTAACTTCAGTGTGAGAGTTAAAGTTCCTCCCAGCAGTCGCAGAGTTAACAGGAAACATGAGCTCAGAGTCACAGCCCCTCTGTTTTTCTTCTCTTCTGTTTCTCAGGCTGCTGCTGCAGGATGTGAGAGAACCACAACAACACCGACCCCGAACACTGACGGCCGCCACATCTCACCACGTTTAAAGGTAGGGCTTATAATAAACACACTTTGTTATAAATGTCCTGCTCTTATTGTGTCGTCTGATCAGTTTGGATTAGATTAGTTTTGGCTTGATGAAGTGAGTTAATCCCTGGAGGGCTCAGACTGACTCTTAAAGGAGAGCAGATTCTTTCTCCTGTCTGCTGGATTTTATTCCACTTTGTTCCTCCTGTTTCTTTTCTTTTTAACTTTAGTTTTGTCATTTTCTGTTCAGGAGCACTCGTTGTAGATTTGAGTTACGGGTTAATTTCACAACAGTCCCAGAAAGAAAGAAAGAAAGAAAGAAAGAAAGAAAGAAAGAGAGGCCATGTAGTCGTTAAAGGGAACTAAAATGAAATCACAGATTTCCAATATGGAGGCCTGAGCTGGAATTAAAAAGAGTTTTCTGTTGATTTTGCACCGATACGACTCGGCAGAGGGACTCAGAAGTTGTCTTAAACAAATAACTTTATTAAAGAGTATTTAAGTTAAATGTTCTTTAATATGTTAAATAATTTAACACTGACAACCAATTGTAGTTGAGATCGCTGAGAGCTCATCAAGTTTGTGTCTCAACTTTCTCGTCGTTCCAAATTTCTGTAATTCCAACAGCAGAAATATTCAAATACACATTAGGCAGATGTAACACATGTATTCAAACACTGCACAGGATTAACATAAAGTGTCTGTAAAGAGGAGACTCGTGGGTTCCCATTGAATCCATTTTCATTCAGATATCATGAGGTCAGAGGTCAAAGGGATCCCTTTGAAAATGGCCATGTCAGTTTTTCCATCGCCAATATTCAGCCTCACTTTGGAGCTTTATTTAGCCTCCTTACCGACATGCTGGCGTTACACTGACTCTAGCTTACACAGGGAATGTAGAACAAAGAATGAAGATTTATTTTCTGCATTATAAACCCTAAAAAGCTGTTTACATATCGGATTGTCTGCAGTTTTATTGGTCGATAACAGCAGCCGACCGATGTATCAGTCAGTCACAAACCCAGTGAAGCTCAAATAAATCACAGAAATACCAAGTTCTTCCTTTCCTTCTCTGTAACATCCATTTTATTCACATATAATAACCTTTCTGAGCAGAACTTACAACTTCTTTCAATAAACAGACAAATAAAGCACTAAAGATTATTATAAATGTGATAATCCAGGTCCCACAATAACAAGTATTTCCTTTCTTTTCATGTAAAATCCATATTTATAACCTTTGTGACCGCCGTGATCCTGTTGCATTTGTGCTAACTAACTACTTAAAACATATTCATACGTAAGGAACCAACAAACCGCAGACAGGATATAAACCTGTTGCTGGTTTGGGTCTTTATGCGGGATTTGTTGACCGGTGTTGGGTTTCTGATGTCTTTCACAGATCCACAGAAGAATCCTGACGGCTGCAGACAAACATGGCTCTGTTCTTCTCCGGAGCCGTTACAAGTACGTCAGCACACAACATGCAAACGTTCAGAGGAAACTAGTAAAATGTGAAACCAAAACAATTAACTAAAGACGGTTTTAATTAGTTTTATTCTGTTTCTGTCCACTTTGAATGAAGTTACGATGATCTGAAGGTAAAATGAGTGTTTTTGTCTCTGGAGTCTGGTGGAGAGTGATAGTGATATTACGGCTGTTTGTGGTTAAACTAAAGGTCTATCTCTGTAGGGATCCTTTCCATAATGCTGTCAGACACTGACAATAACAACCTGAGTCTGTCAGTGGAACAAACAACAACTACTGTTAGTGGAACAAACAACGACTACTGTTAGTGGAACAAACAACAACTACTGTTAGTGGAACAAACAACAACTACTGTTAGTGGAACAAACAACGACTACTGTTAGTGGAACAAACAACTACTGTTAGTGGAACAAACAACAACTGTTAGTGGAACAAACAACAACAACAACTACTGTTAGTGGAACAAACAACAACTACTGTTAGTGGAACAAACAACGACTGTTAGTGGAACAAACAACAACAACAACTACTGTTAGTGGAACAAACAACAACTACTGTTAGTGGAACAAACAACAACAACAACTACTGTTAGTGGAACAAACAACAACAACTGTTAGTGGAACAAACAACTACTGTTAGTGGAACAAACAACAACAACATGTTAGTGGAACAAACAACTACTGTTAGTGGAACAAACAACAACTACTGTTAGTGGAACAAACAACAACAACAACTACTGTTAGTGGAACAAACAACAACTACTGTTAGTGGAACAAACAACTACTGTTAGTGGAACAAACAACAACGACTGTTAGTGGAACAAACAACTACTGTTAGTGGAACAAACAACAACACGTCAGTGGAACAAACAACTACTGTTAGTGGAACAAACAACAACAACTGTTAGTGGAACAAACAACTACTGTTAGTGGAACAAACAACAACGACTGTTAGTGGAACAAACAACGACTGTTAGTGGAACAAACAACTACTAACAACACAAAAAACAACAACTGTTAGTGGAACAAACAACAACTACTGTTAGTGGAACAAACAACAACGACTGTTAGTGGATGGACTTGGACGGTGCATTTGTTTCCAAAGATTGTTGCCTGTTTCACTAATATTTTCACATCTAACTCTGTGAATTAAGGATTTATTTCCACCAAACCAGAGTTGGTGATTGTTGGAAACACTAACAGAGACAGTTTTAGTGAGTTTTATTCTGTTTCTGTCCACTTTGAAGTGTGTTTTGTCAATGGAGTCGCATTCCTGCAGAGTATTTATCAGCATCACGTCGGCTCTGTTCACTAGAGTATATTTGCTCAAGTGGTTCCCCGGCCGACCTCAGGAATGTTCTCTGGCTCTTCACGCTGATAAAAGTCGAGTCGTCTTTATTTAGAGTCACAGGACGGACGGTTGGTTTCATGAGTGTGTGAGGAGTTCGTCCGTCTAACGTATGTGATCCTGTCTGATTCCTGCTCAGGTTCGCCAATCAAACGGAGGCTGCGGGCTCATCACTCCTGTCAGAGGTAAGAACTTCTTTTACCTTTTCAAGACCTGCTGGTTGATTTCAAATAAGCCACTACTGTTACTTTGTCCTGGTTTAAGTATTACCAGTCAGGTCTTAAAGAGGTACCGCATGTTAGCACGTTCAATTACATTTCTCAACATGAACGTAGTCGTTTTAAATCCCGCATGCTAACCTCCCATCTGTGTGTCCCTCAGCCTCGACCTGTCCCTCCTCTCTCCGGACTCCTCGTACGTCTGTTACCCGTCCGTGGACGGCGGTGACCCTAGCTCCTGCCGCCGCTCGCCGCGCCTCCTCACCAACGGCTACTACAGCGTCACCGAGGACAGCTTCTCCTGGGACGACGAGGGCAACGTGTCGCTGACTCCCTGCAAAACCAACGTGTCCTACAAGGAGAACCTGGTCAGGTGGGAGCAGTTTCTGAAGGGGGATTTACGTGAACTTTATTTGTACCGTAGTTTACACGTCTGCAACCAACACACACACACACACACACACACACACACACACACCCTCCTCTTCAAACACCTCTTTATAGCGATGAGGTCATTCTCAGCAGCCAATCAGAGCGAGCCGTTCGGGGCACGTCGAGCAGGTTTTATAAAAGCTGTTAATTCTTCACGTCTGACATCGTCCACGCTCAGGAGCCAGAGTCTGATGTCATCCGTCACGGTTGCTAGGAGACCCTGGTGTTATTGAAACCTTCATCGTAAACATGAGAAGAGTTTCTTTGTTCTCTTACATTAGAGTCACACAGACGTTGTTTACTGTTGAACTCTTTCATGTTAAATAAACTGACTGTATTTGAGGTTTTGAATTTAGAGACGTCCCCGGCAGCTTTAGTAACTCGTAATGAACATTATTCAGTATTTTCTGACCTTATAGAGATAAAATAAAGGAGTCTGAGAGCTCCGGGTTCAGTCCAACATTAAGAAGAACCATCAACAGGAACCACAAACATTGGTCTTTGTATTTTAGGGTCTTCCGGCGTAGGCGGCGGCCTCGGGGCTCTCTGGCTCGCCTGCTGAGTGACGTGACGGAGAGCTGCCAGTCCTGGCTGGATGAGAAAGTCTTCAGAGGCGTGTTCGGGACGGGACAGAACCAGAACCGGGACCAAGAACAGGACCAGGACAGGGACCGGGACCAGGATTGGGTCAGGGCCAACCAGGAGGGCCTGTCCCCGCTGGACGAGTCATCCTGGTCTGCATTCAACAGCACCGAGCTGGACGACAGCCGCGGCTTCACCTACGGTTGGTAATCCATTGATCCGGTATATCGGCTCAGCTTTGGAAACACTGATCAATATATTCTCTCTCTTTCTCTTTCAGACCACACTGAGATCCCGCCTCCTCCCGACAAAGTGGCCCCGCCCCCGAAGATCCTCATCCAGGAGGAGATTTGTTCTGAGATCTGTCAATCAACAGAGCGGTTCACCCAATCACTGGGCGGCCTCTCTGAAGTCCCGCCTCCCTCGCCATTCTACACCAACAGCTGCTGCTGCCAGACCGCACCTGAGCACACAGGTGAGCTGCAACACTCATTTCAACGAAGCTGCCCTGGTGGCCCGTTTCCCCGAGAAGACACATATATCATTAGTAGATGTACAAAAAAGCCTCTTGGACTCATACCCCAAACCCAACAGGAAGTCAGCCGTTTATTGGCTGTTTTTGCCATTTCAAGGTCTTTTAAATGGCGTGTCCGTGGCGTGGCATCGAAAATCGATGTTTGGCCACGGAACAGGATGTTGTTGTAACTTCAGTGTAGCATCATCTGATTTATGTGACTGTATCATCGGAGCAGTGAACTATTTTTTGGGACTGTTCTTGGAGTAATGGTCTGTTTCTCTGACGTGTATTCGTTTGTGTTTGTGTTTCAGGGTTAACGATGAAGACCCTCCTCCTTTTCATCTTCACGGTCTTCATCTTCACCGCTCTTTACTCAGGGTAACATTTTCATTTTTAATCAATTAAAACACATCATCTATAAATACTTTTAGTTTTAATCAATGTTAAAGTCCAAAACTCAAGATTAAGACGTCAAAACTAAAGTCTGACTCAAAGTTTTTTTCACTCTCTTTTTACTTCTTCAGGTGTCTCTTGTGGAGCGCGACTGTGGCATCGACCGCGTTTGTGATGATCACAACATTTATGCGTAAGTATCACATAAAATTAGTCTGATACATTACTGTATGTTAAAGGCAAGAATCTGGTGATACAATATATATCGGGAGGAGGTTACGATTCAATATATTACGATTTATTTTAGGAAAACTAAAGCTCGAGAATAAAGGTCCCTGTAACATCGAACCTCATAGCTACTACTTCACGTCAGTAAAAAATGAAATAAAAGTGCTTTTGCGCTGTATTTACGTAACTAAATTAAGAAAATAAAAACTTTGCATGTAACCTATTAGTTAAAAATCAATACAGTGTTTTTGAGAATCTATACAGAGGATCTGTATGTATCTATACATCTATTATGGATCTGTTGACAGCCACAGCAACACAATACCTGCAATTAAACATTTGTTTTGCACGTTACATGATTATAGTGACACATTATTTAATCGTTTTCCTAAATTTGCTTTAAAGTCGTGATGTTTACCCAAAATCAAGTGTGGAATGGTTGCCTAAATGCTTGTTTTTAGAAACTTTTTGCGCCTAAACATGACTAAATTTAGGGGAAATAAATCATACAACACACTATATGAACACACAACTGAATGAAACAGAATAAAACTCATTAAAGCGTCTCTGTTAGTGTTTCCAACAATCACCAACTCTTTGGTGGAAATAAATCCTTAATTCACCGACGTAGATGATAAAAACAGCAGTTTCAGTCGGAGCAGACCGGCTATGGAAACAAACCACAGAGAGGCTGCGATACAACACAGGCAGAGGGAGAGAGACACCATGTGACTGTGTCTTTATATAGAAGGTTAAAGAATATGTCGACGATGTATGTTCATACATTTGTGATGATCCGTTCTCTTTCAGTCCTGACGAAGTCGGGGCCGATGGGCGAGTGGAGGAGGGCGAAGACGGAGGTGAGTAAACAAATAAATCTAATCACTTCATTATGTCAACTGGCAGCGAGGAAACGACGCTAACGCTTCTTGATGCTAACAGTTTCTAATCATTCTGTTTTACAGGATATCACGTCAAGAAACGAGTAAAAGCGTCCGGAGACAATTTCCAACGTTTGAAACTGGAGGAGCGATCAGAGATCTGACGGGACTCAGTAGAAATATTTCACATGTCACCGACCGTTTGCATGTACGTGGCACTTAAAGGACCGAGTTACTTACTGAGCTCCGGATGCATTTCACAGAAACAGCTGGTGCTTGATGGCAGAACGTTTTTATAAAAATGAGCATTTTTGAATGTAAATCTTTAAAGTTTCAGAAGGGCTGAAGAGAACATTTAACCTTTAAATCCAAAGCAAAACTCCGGGAACATTAGCTCAATACATCCAGGTAATGAACCTTTATGCTAACTAAGCGGTGCAGGACGACTGAGACTCTGACAAAGATTAAAAAAATAAAGTCAGATCGGACAGGAAACGGAGACGCTGCGTCTCATTGTGACTGGTTGTTGATTCGCGTTAAACGCTGGAACCACAAAGTTTTTCCCGGAGAATAAAAGCTGAACGTGTTTCTGTTAAAAAGCTGAAGGAGCTCATTCACACGTTAGTGTAGTCACCACGTGTAGCTGTAGCTGTAGCTATAAAACATTTATAACATATAAAACAAATGTAACTGATGTATTTTTGAAATACTGTGTAAAAGTGTATCTTGTATCTTTATCGGATAGTTGAACTTGGCTTTTTTGGGACGTCCAAAGTGACCAAACGTCAGACGTTAAATCGTCTGCAGAACAAATTCAGGTCTTCGCTTCTATTTAAAACGAGAGCTGTGACTTTTCCTAAGTTCTTCTGATCTACCAGGAAGTTATAACCACAGGAGATAAGTGCCATTTATTTGTCCTGAGGAAACTGACTGAAGAGTTTTATTCCAAAATTAAATTAAAAAAGACGCAAAACAATAGCACAAATCTAAAAAAAAAGCTCAGATTTTATTGTGAAAATCTTATTTCCTGGGTAGAGTTCTGACAGGTCGAATATTTACATCCTGTTAGATCATCTGCAGCTTTTAGACCACTTTCTGGATAAAAAAATAAACTTTATTGTTATTATTATCAACCAGACAGTTAATGTTTGTGACCAGATTAAACAAATTGAGTGTTAAATTTTCAGAATCAGCTCTCTGATGGCGTGTTGGTCCTGAGTCTACAGAAAATGTCTGACGTCTGTTAAAAGCATCATGAGGAGGAGACGTTTGTTGACATCTGATTGACAGGTCGATGGGCGGGGCCACTGATACACACCTTGCGACGGCTTTACCTCCATGGTTGAGCGGCTCGGCTGAAACAGCTACGTTGCTCTGAAACTCAATTCTGTAGTTTTCTAATCAATACAGCAAAGTAAGCCCCGCCCACCTCTGGGTTAAGCCCCGCCCACCCCGAGTACAGATCATTCAGTTGGTTGAACAGACACAGAAAACGACGGACTCGCTCTTTCCTTCTTACGTCATTAAATGCACACAGGGAGTTAAACACAATCAGATGTCACTAGAATAAACTAGATGAATAAAATCTGAATTATATGAATAATAACGTTGTGCAGCTAATAAACCTCCTGAACTGTCTGTTATAAATATTAAATCTATAATAATATAAGTATGCAGCATTTTGTAGTAAAACTCTTCAGCTGTGAAGTGCCTTTATCTCAGCCAGCAGAGTAACACAGGGAGGTTTAAACCTAAAGTGCTGCTGGATCATAAACAGACCTGCTCCGCTGTTATATGGAGATAATCTCAGTGTTTGATTTATCCTGCGGGGCGTGGCAGACGGGCGGAGCTTCCCGATCTGAAGTATATATATTCTTTAATATATGAGGCTGTGTTCACACTGTGTCCAACGTGCGTTCACATTTTTAAAGGAAGATTTCAAGATTTTTGGAAATGTTTTGACAACATGTTTAGATTTAATCTAATGTGTGTGTGTGGAGCTGAGGTCAGCAAGGTGCTAAACTGTTGTTCATTAAAAAAAATAATCCTCATAAAACCTCAAACGTTCCTGTTTAATCAAACAAAACGCAGCGTGTTAATTATTGAGCTCTAGAGGGGCTGATAGGAGCCTAAAATATCCTCTTTCTTACAATAAAATTGCACGTTTACAGGATTTCTCCAACAAACTCTCCAAAACTCAACGTCTACCTTCCTCCGTCTCCTGCTGGGAAAATGTGATTCCACATCCACTGATGGTGAAACTTTTTCCTAACCTTTAAAACCAGCGTCCGCTCTGCCATCAGCCGGTTTTATTAGCAACCTGCTGTCGCTGTACGCGCGTCAGTGGCAGTTTTAAAGGGCATGTGTGAACACAGACAAACTCCACCCGGCTGGCGTCGCAGGCAGGAAAAATGTGCTTCGACACACTTATTGTACTTTGAGCAATAACTCCAGAAAATGTAAGAAACTCAACTATTAAAACCTCAACAGTGTGCAGGGAGAGAATCTTTAAAGTCACAGTGAAAAGAAACTGTTACAAGATCAATACAGTTTGTATTGATCAGGTTTCATCGGGAGAAGAAGTGCGGCAGGAAGCCGGATTAAGTAACGTAAAGAAAGATAAGTACTGTACGGCTTTATAGAGTTCTGACTTTATAAAGTTTGTTAAATTCAATCATGTTTGGGCCTCAAACTACGCCAAGACTTTTATTGAACCTGAGGAGGGAAGAGATGAGCTGTGCTGCGTTCAAATCAACATGTTTCCCAGTAAAACTGTGTGTTTGTGTGTTTTTGTGTCCGAGCGGAACGAGCAGCTTCCTGAATCCGACGAGTTTTTATTCACTCAAAGTGCCAAAATCTGACGGTTCAGGAAATCAGCGACACGTCGTCAATGAACAAGAATCTTAATATTCTTAATCACAGCTCTGCAGAACGTTTTTACTTTTGCATTTAAAGCTGCAATATTTTTATATGAGGTGTCGGATTGAGGCTGTTACGGCGCTTTTTAGCCGCTTTGAGCAACGAGTTTTGGATTTTTATGGCTGAAAATATGAGCCGAGTCTCTCAGGAGCTAAAAGAAGGAGAGCGAATATCAAACAAACTGGATTTGTTAATAAGCAACTGTGTCTGCTCTGCCGCCCCCTGGTGGCCAAACACAGTTTAATGCAGCTTTAAATGACCAAAGTTTGTTTTTTTCTTTTATATAATAAACTTTTATGAGGGTTGTTGTAAAATGTTGAATTTACTGAAAAGGACAAAAGTGACTAAAATACATTAAATATGATGTAATAAGCTCTTGTGTGTGATGTAATGCAGCTGCTGATGTTTGTTTTAATCTTTTCATTGACTGCACTTGTTTCCAGATGTGGAAATGTGACACTTACTATTTCTGTTATTATTCCACTGTACTGTATTCATGTTATTAAAGTCTCTTAAATTGTAAAATGAAACCTTAAACGACGCACAGACGGGCTTTTAATTTGAAATTGGGGAAGAAGATTAAGAAATGATCAACCAATCAATCAACGTGATCAATGTGTCGATCACGATGATGTCGCCGCGTTTTAAGGTTTGATTCTTACAGTTTTCAGATATTTTCCAGTTTTAGTGAAAGTGTTTGTTTTATCTGACGTTTAAATTAAAGTTTAAAGACAAAAACTGTGTATTTCTGTTCAACCTGCATCAGTTTACTGTGGAAGAACTTTACTGCCAATAAAATAAGATTATAACTCATAAAATAATAATTAAATGTTCATGTTTACTCAAAATTATGATAAAATGTTAACCTTATAAGATCATTATTTTATCTCACAGTTGAAAAGACCAAATTGTTTTGTTTTGTTAACATTTGTACTTCAGAGACTAAAGAGTTCAACCTGTCTGATTATTTAAGGAAGGAAACTTATAAAATCTGTGTGAAATGTTGTTAATTAATATTAAATTGGCTTTAAATGATTCTGGACGTTCAAATTAATACAAAAACAATGAAGGTCGTCATTTGGTATCTTTATAAAGACTTTCTCTCACTTCAGCGTCTCACGGTGCGTTCAATGTCCCACTGCTCGGAGCTGTAACTGACAGTACTGACACACTGAATATTGTTTTTAAATTGATTTTATTATAAAAAGACGTGATGGTATAAAAACACCAGTGAACAGACACAAACAGACACAAACATGCAGAATCACGACAGAGCGACAGAAACAACTAATATATAATAATAATAATAATAATAATAATAATAACTTTACTGTTAATACTGAACACAGAAGGACTTTATTTTAATTATTGTAAACTTAAAGTACTCAACAGTTGTTCAGTTAGAGCGATGGTTGTCGACGGTCTTCGTATCGTACAGAGACAAACCGCAGGAACAATTTAATACAAATAAAATTTACTTAAAATTAACTTTTAAATATTTTATCTTGTGAAACATTTTATTTGCTGTGTCGCTTTATTAAAGAGAGAAACGATGTAAAATATATGGGTATTAAACAGGACCATCAGAAATACAGATTTAATGCAATAAGACATAAACATTGTTCAGATTTATATTAATATAAAAACATTTTAGGGGTCAAAGGTCAAATAATTGCTCATAATTTTTAAAAACCATGAAAATTACTTTGAGAAAACTTTAATAATTATTAAATCTTATTATTTATTTAATAAACACGTAACTGCAGTCGGAACCATTTCTCTCATCGTTGCCGTGGTTACCGCGGTCAGCCTCCGTACCCGTCTCTGACCTCTGACCTCTGACCCTAATCCGTCACTGCAGCGGCGGAGCGAGGCGTCTCTCCGCGGCGTGCACGGTGACGTGGCGCCGCAGGTGGCTCCCGGAGATGAAGGTCTTGCCGCAGTACGAGCACCGGAACTGTTTGCAGTCCGTGTGCACCGTCATGTGGACCTTCAGCGAGCCCGACTGGGCGAACCGCTTCCCGCAGTGGACGCAGCCGTAGCGTTTCTCGCCGGTGTGGACGCTCTGGTGGCGTTTCAGGTTGCTGGAGTCGGAGAAGCGTTTGCCGCAGAGCGCGCAGATGAACGGCTTCTCGCCCGTGTGGACCCTCATGTGGGTCTTCAGGTTCTTGAGGCACGCCAGCGTTTTACCGCAGAAGTTGCAGGCGAACGTCTTCCCGCCACCGTCCTCCCGGCTGTGGCTGGACGCCCGGTTGGCGCCGTCCTGGTGTCTCCACCGCTCCCTCCTGATGAAGGCGTTTTGCCGCTCTGTCTCTTTCCTCGCAGGAAGCTGCGGCTCGTCCGAGGGCGGCGGCGCCCTCTGGTGGTTGCTCTGGAAACCTGCGGGCTGCCGGCGCTCTGCCACAGACTGAGTCACCTCCCCGACTGCGAACGGGAAGCTGCCGCTGCCCGAATCGGCTGAAACGCCGGCGTTCAACGAGTACGAGCAGCCGGGATCCTCACCCAAAGCATTCTGGGTACCGAGGGAGCCGGGCTGCAGCTGCGGCTCGTACATCAGACGGTCGTAGCCGCCGGTTTCCGACCTCTGGACGGCGTTCAGGGTCGTCTGGACGGACATGGAGGTGGAGCTGACTTCCCCGCTCACCCATGACCGAGTCGAACCGCCGCCATCGTCCGCTGCTTCCTGTTTGGTCGTTGGGGGCGGAGCTTCCGTCGTCCGTCCCTCGGCGACGCAACGAAACTCTTCTGGAGACAGAAAATCAGAAAGACGTTTAACAAGAGCTCAAAAAGTACTTTATTTAACGTTTTTATGAACCGCACTCACCGTCCCGCTCAGACTGGGTCCAGGACTCGTCGTCCTCCACTTTGATGACGGCGGAGGTCAGTCGGGTCGACTCGCCGGCGCCGGGCTGAAATCAGAGCAGAGAGGTTAAAACCTGAAAGAGCGAGAGACGAACGCCGACGTCGTCTACTCACCGTCTCCTGAGCGCTGTCTCGTCTACAGTCGGAGGACGGAGGCGTCTCCTGGTTGGACGCTCTGGGCAGCGCCGCCTCACCTGGAGGACACACAATGACATCATCAACATGTGCTTTATCTTTTATCACTATTATGTATTTATTTTTTTATATTCATATGTTGTTGTTTTTCTCTGTATATATTATAGTATTATACTTATTATACTTGGAGCCATGTTCCTGTTTCATTATGGTGCCTAAAGGTTTTTAAATTCTAAAAACAATATAAATATTAAAAGTCTGCTGTAGTGTTTAATAAAGTTTTATTTTAATATAAAACAATATAAATATATAAATATAAATATTAAAAGTCTGCTGTTGTGTTTAATAAAGTTTTATTTTAATATTAAACAATATAAATATAAATATTAAAAGTCTGCTGCTGTGTTTAATAAAGTTTTATTTTAATATTAAACAATACAAATATATAAATATAAATATTAAAGGTCTGTTGTTGTGTTTAATAGTTTTATTTTAATATAAAACAATATAAATATATAAATATAAATATTAAAAGTCTGCTGTTGTGTTTAATAAAGTTTTATTTTAATATTAAACAATATAAATATATAAATATAAATATTAAAAGTCTGCTGTTGTGTTTAATAAAGTTTTATTTTAATATTAAACAATATAAATATATAAATATAAATATTAAAAGTCTGCTGTTGTGTTTAATAAAGTTTTATTTTAATATTAAACAATATAAATATAAATATTAAAGGTCTGCTGTAGTGTTTAATAAAGTTTTATTTTAATATTAAACAATATAAATATATAAATATAAATATTAAAAGTCTGCTGTAGTGTTTAATAAAGTTTTATTTTAATATAAAACAATATAAATATATAAATATAAATATTAAAGGTCTGCTGTAGTGTTTAATAAAGTTTTATTTTAATATAAAACAATATAAATATATAAATATAAATATTAAAAGTCTGCTGTAGTGTTTAATAAAGTTTTATTTTAATATAAAACAATATAAATATATAAATATAAATATTAAAAGTCTGCTGTAGTGTTTAATAACGTTTTATTTTAATATAAAACAATATAAATATATAAATATAAATATTAAAAGTCTGCTGTAGTGTTTAATAAAGTTTTATTTTAATATAAAACAATATAAATATATAAATATAAATATTAAAAGTCTGCTGTAGTGTTTAATAAAGTTTTATTTTAATATTAAACAATATAAATATATAAATATATAAATATAAATATTAAAGGTCTGCTGTTGTGTTTAATAAAGTTTTATTTTAATATTAAACAATATAAATATATAAATATAAATATTAAAAGTCTGCTGTAGTGTTTAATAAAGTTTTATTTTAATATTAAACAATATAAATATATAAATATAAATATTAAAAGTCTGCTGTAGTGTTTAATAAAGTTTTATTTTAATATTAAACAATATAAATATAAATATTAAAAGTCTGCTGTAGTGTTTAATAAAGTTTTATTTTAATATAAAACAATATAAATATATAAATATAAATATAAAAGGTCTGCTGTTGTGTTTAATAAAGTTTTATTTTAATATTAAACAATATAAATATATAAATATAAATATTAAAAGTCTGCTGTTGTGTTTAATAAAGTTTTATTTTGAAACGGTTACCTCGGGCCGTCCCGCTCCTCCTCGGCTCGTTGCCAGGGTGATGAGCAGGCGGCGGAGCTCGAGCGCGGCCGTTGGCGAGCAGCAGCGCGGGACCGCCGGCGGTGGCCGCGGCTCGCAGGGCGGTCGCGCGGACCGCTCGGAGCTCCGCGAGCCGCAGTTTCCTCCGCAGCGCCTCGTTCTCTTTGCGGCTCCGCGAGAGCTCGAGCTGCAGCACCGAGTACCCGCTGTCCACGAGCTCGCAGATCTCCGCCACCGCCGTGTTGGCCAACACCTCCACGATGGAGGCGAGCTGCGCGTGGAAGGCAGCGGCCGGCGACATGTCTGTGACCCCACCGCGTGCGTGCGTCGAAACGGACCGGTCCCGGGTTCCGGGAGCTCGTGGCGGGCGGGGACAGAGACAGACACGCGCTCGCTCCGTCCGCGTGAACGTCTCAGCTGATGTAAACAGTCTCGAGACCAACCAGGAAGTGATGCGGAGGTACAACAACGTACACAGGCACCGCAGAGTGCGCATGTGCGGGATTTTACATGGATTTTCTGTTTTTTTTAATGTTTGATTTTATCTGAAGATCAAACACGATTATTGATTATTGATTAGCCTGTCCGTTTCTATGGAAACCCGCTCCTGCTAATGTGAGGGGGAGAGTCATTTTAATAACTTACAGAATATTTGGGCATTAAAGGGTTTCCATATTTATTTATTTATTTTCTATAAACTGCAGAAAATAAGACATATTTCCTTTAATTTGTAAAATTAATCTGATATAACAATAAACAACTTATCTCACGTAAGCAAATTTTAATGTCTCTCTCTTTCCAGAAAACAACAAATAAACAACATTAAATACTCTTCTGAGACACAAACATCAACAACAACTGACAACAGCTTCAGAATTAGTTTTATTAACGGAGATTAACACATAAACATAAAGTATAGAGAGACTGTTACAGTTGTGTGCGTTATGAAGAGGTGTGTACCTGTACAGTTGATGCTTTGGAATAGTTTGTTTATTTTGTTCGATCGAGACGCTGAAACCCAAAAATCAATCAGATTATTATAATATTAAAGCAGATACAAGGAGTGTGTTGACTCTGGCGCCCCCTGTGGAGGAAACTGGTAGTGTCTCTGCGGCCTCGGCCCATTGATTTCAAGGGGAATCCGACCCACGTTAATAATCACTATATAGAAATATCCAATCTTATATATATATAAAATAAAATAAAACTCTTTAAAAAGCATCCTTTAAAACCGTCTGCGCCTTTGGAAACTGATTACTTCTGTACTTTAAAGTTACTTTTAATTTAAAAACATGGATATTTACAGAAACATTCAGAAGTTAAACCTTCACACATTTAGAGTTCGGTACCGACGACAGAGACTAACGTTTGAGTCCCGGTGAGTAAGGACACGTTGGACCAGCCAACAGAGAGACACTAAGCACAGCACCTGAACTCGGTGAACTCTGAACTTCATCGACACCTTCAGGTCATTAATCAGCCGGTTATAGAAGTCGTCGATGGAGATAACGAGGCGGTTTTCACTCCCGGTTGACGTTACAGTTTCACTAGTGTTTAAGAGTTTATTAGGTTTTAATATGTTTGTGTTAAATCATAAATATAACGGTGAAGAGCCGCAGGGAGCCAGGTTACGTCGGGTCGCCGTCACCTCGCTGTACGCCGTCCACTCGGCTCCAAACTCTCGCTCCGAACACAACTACAGACCGATATCCAGTCACAGACACGGCGCCCCCTGCAGGAACAGGCAGTAACCCTTACATAGGCGTGGTCTACGTGCGATACCGGTGTCGGTTTCCTCTCCTCTCGCTCACACGTTGAGGTGACACTTCTTCATGTGTAGCTTGAGGCTGTATTTGACGATGAAGCTCCGGGAGCAGAGCGTGCAGGCGTACGGCCGCTCGCCGGAGTGGACGATCAGGTGCGACTTCAGGTGCGCCGACTGCGTGAACTTCTTGCCGCACTGGCTGCAGCTGAACGGTCTCTCGCCCGTGTGGATCCGCATGTGAACGTCCAGGTTCTGGGACGTGGCGTACGTCCTGTTACAGACGGAGCACATGAAGCGCTTCCCTCGGGCGCCGGCGCCCACCTGCGACAGCCCCGTCTGCTCCCTGTAGAGGGCGAAGTTCATCGCGTCGGCGTCGTCGTACTCGAGCGCCGAGTTGCTGCTTTCGGACAGCTGGCAGTCCGTGGAGGTCGAACCCGAGACGCTGACCAGTTTGATCCCGAAGGCGTCGCCGTCCGCGTGGTCGTTCTGGTGAAACGGAGCGAACGCCACGTGGTGTTTGGAGGGTTTGGTCCACGTCAGGCTGAGATCTAGCTCCGCTCGGTTGGTCGGAGACTCCATCAGAGCGCCGTTAGCGAAATACGTTTGTCTGTTGGCGCCCGGGAGGAGCGAGCACTCCTGGTGGACCAGCTGGACGTCCGGGTTCAGCTGCGAGGAGTACGAGCAAACGGACTCGCCGGCCTCCATCTCGTCGCCACCGACGCCGCCGAGCTGACCGGAGCAGCCCGGCTCGCTGCGAGGAGAGTCCAGAGTGTAGACGGACACTTTGGATGTAGACTTCCTGTCGGCGGCCTCGCTCCCACGCCAGCGTCTCTTCGCCCCGCGGCCGACCGGAGGCTCTCGAGTGGCGGCGGCCGACCCTCCGTCAGACGACACTTTGTTATCTGAAAGAAAAATAAAATGTTTTACATTTACAGACAGTTTTTATTCACCTGAATGCATCATCAGCTTTTTATATGGAAGACAAGAGCCGCCACAGTTATTATGTTTTAGTGACACTAAGTCGTTATTCAGTCGAAATATCGAGAGAGTTTCTCATTATAATGACAGAAATGAGCTTCCATAAGATAATTAACTCTTACTGAGGAGAGGAAGTCAACTGAGACGGTTTCTATTAGTTTTATTTATTGATTTAGTTTCTGAATGAAGATTTAAGAGTTTAAACTAAAAGAGAGAAACTGTGAGAAGGACAACAGGCGCTGAGATCTGGTGACAGAATAAATCTTTAATCTCTATAAATCCATGTTTCTATCAGTGTCTGTTTTCAGGATGTTAATATTAACACTTTGTGATTAACAGGTTTATTATTTAAATGAAAGGTTGCTGTGTTGAAATAGGATCAATAAACTCACCTTCCTCGAAGCTGTCGTTACTGTCCGAGTCTTCGTCTTTGATCAACACCACGTCTGGAAGCTGGAGAAGATTTAATGTACAGATTAATTAATGGAGTAATAACACCAATATTACAGCTAATAAAGTTCAATCATTAACATGTAAACAGACAGGAAACTGCAGTTCATACAGGAGATATTGATTATTAAACTAATTAAGATAAAACGTCTCCTGAGTCCTGATTGGCTGATTCGTCTTTAAGGTTAATTAATAATTAAAGAAGAGTTATTGTTTCCTCTTTATCTCAACATCTTCCTTTAATTATCAAATTATCTTAACACCTTCCTCTTCCTCCTCCTCTTCCTCCTCCTCTACCCGTCCTTTTGGGTTTCTGAACACGTTATCACCAGAATACGACTTTGAGTCCGGGGTTGAGGGGAGATAGAGGGGTCGACTGAGCACGTGCGGAGATAATTAACTTCTGATCTGGAGATTATTTGGGATTAAATATATAATTGCAACCAACGTCTGGTCTCAGCAGGATTTAATGTGTTTAAAGGATGCAGTGAAAATCATAAATGTTATTATTAAGGCTGATTTTAAAGGTACGGAGGCTATTTAAGTCCAAAAAAAGAGTGAATAAATTAAACACAGTGATTCCCTAAAAGGTTTACGAGGCTTCATTTTATTTTATAATTTATTATAACTTTTTATTGTTATACAAAGTATATTTTTATAACATCAGCTTATAATCTTACATTTTTATTTTATTATTAATTTTATTTCATTTATCCTCCATAAACCAACAGTGACTCAAACGATTAATTATTAAAATAATAAATAAGATTAATTTTAATGCTTATAACAGATCTCAGTAACCTGTATAATCGTGGACTACAGATCTAATGAATATAATCAATAAACCAATAAATACCTTGATGGCGTACGGAAGACGAAAACGGTTACAATCATTTTAATTGAGTTTGAGTTAATTTATCTAAAAATAATTTAAAAAGGCAGATTTCTGGAGATAATTTATTACGACAGAATAACTTTTATTAAATATAAAAAAATCCGTCATTAAGATCTGTAATCTTTATGTACGGAAGACAAAAACAGCCATGCTTGTAATTCTTTTATAAGTTAATTATTACGTTATCTTTAAGAAAACAAGCTAATATAATAAGATAATTAAATTATAATGTTTATCAGAGAGCAGGAGCCCCCAGGTGAGGTTGGGTTTGTTTAGTAAATTAACTGCAGATGATAATCTCTTTATCTCCAGAATAATAAAGTTATTTCATCCTGATCAACAATTATTGATTATCTTATCGGAAAACAAGTCGTTGTTTACTCAAGAACACAAACGTTGTTGTTCTCGTATTTATAAATATTATCTTATGTGTGACAAAGGATCTCGTTATCTGAGTTTTATTGTGATAAATAATCTTATCCTGAGGAAACAAATAAATAATGTAATCTTAAAGAATCTGTCTTCTGTTTACTTAAAATTAATGAACTTGTTACTTTGAGATAAAATCATTAAAACGTGTTTCAGCTCTAAAACTAACCAATAATAATTGATTATCTATCAGCTGTTACCTCCTCCCGCAGGACCACCGCAGATCCTCCGTCTCCTCCGGGAGCAGCAGCGGAGCTTCCTCCGTCACTGTCCCGCTGCTGCTGCACTGTTTCCGGCTGCTGTGAGCCCTCCGCGGCCGCTGTGACCTCCGGCTCTACCGCCGCCTCCTTCCCCCGGTACCGCCGCCGGTACCGCCGCCGGTACCGCCGCCGCCCCGGACCACTATGGACTCGATGAGGTGCAGCTTCTTCCTCAGGTCGTCGTTCTCCTGGTGGCTCCGGTTGATCTCCGTCCGCAGCACCGCGAACCCTTCGTCCACCAGCCCGACGATCTCCGCCACCGCCGCGGCGGTGAGCGCGCCCATGATGACGGACAGCTGCTCGTGCAGAGCTTTACCGGTTAAAACGGACATCGCGAGGCTCAAAGAGAGGGAGGGGGGGGGGGGGACCGGACCGATACCCGCTCCTAACGGGGGCTGCTACGGAGCTCCAACAGGCTGCTGGTGTCGGTACCGGAGCCGATCAGACCCGTTCAGACGTTAACGCGTCACAAAGAGGCGGTTGGTCCGCGTCCTTCCGGTCCGCACTTCCGGGAAGAACTCTGCTGACTTCAAAATAAGAGCCCGTTGTTATTGTTGTGATAACGACCACGCCCCCTTTAGGGTGAGACAGTCAGTGGTGTGTGTGTGTGTGTGTGCAACTCTTCCTCACAGGTTAGTTAATGACAGACAGTCAGTGAGTGTGTCTCTGTGTGTGTGTGTGTGTGTGTGTGTGTGTGTGTGTGTGTGTGTGTGTGTGTGTGTGTGTCTGTGTGTGTGTGTGTGTGTGTGTGTGTGTGTGTAAAGCTGTTATTTTACGGTAATAATATAATTATACAAGATATCTGTCAGTTAACTAACTAATCCATTAAAATTACACAACAAATACTTTTTACTGTTAATGTCACAAATTTGACATAATTATAGAAATATATTAACAGTATTAAACTTTTTTTAACAGTTTGATCTATTAAAACAATAAATATCTGCAAAAATATTAGATTTGCAAATTTATTTTAATCTTTTACGTGTAAAAAGAGGAACCTTTCTTTAAATAAGCAGTAATTTCTGATTATTTACAGTTACAGATTAAAACATGTATCTAATTTTAATCTATTTATGTAATTTTATTATTATTTCCACGTATTTTAACAACTGTAAACTTTAAAGTGTAACTATAATAAATGTATTATTGTTGGTGGTTGGAAGGTTTTTCTCATCATAACTAAACAAATAAACATTAATGAGATTTAAATGTTGAATAAAACCAATAATGTAATTATTATATAGATAATAAACAATATTAAATATAATCTCCTGTTTATGGTGTAAAGTAATAAACAAACACTGGAACAGTTCATCCACTTTTAATTCCAACCAATAAACATCTGCATGCTTCGTACAACAGGAACCGTTCTCCACTGTGGACCCAAAACGGCCCACAGTCTCTGTTTGATCTGAGGTAAGGTTCTGATCTGGATCAGGTCCGTTCAGACGGGTTAGAAATGTGTAACTGAAATCAGATTTTCAATGGAAAACACTTCTAAAAACATCTTTAAAAAGATTTAAATTAGTTCAGTAACAGCAGCGAGCTCAACTCTCTCCTTCAGATGAACCGAACGGGCCAATCAGGACGATACAGGTTCTGGTTCTGGTCCCTGAAGTACGACCCTCAGCTGAGGAGACACTTCAGTAGAACCCTTTAAGGTGTTCTGTGCTACCGGGTCCCGGTTCTATCACAGTTCTGACCCGCCACAGTGTCACAGACTTCCTGTGTGAGCGGCGCCCGGCTCAGCCTGATGGTGTTTCTGCTGATGGATCCTCAGGTTCTGCTTCCCGGCGAATCTCTTCCCGCACTGCTCGCAGGCGAACGGCCGCTCTCCGGTGTGAACGCTCTGGTGCGTCTTCAGGTGTCCCGACTGCGTGAAGCGCTTCCCGCACTGAGCGCAGCTGTACGGACGCTCGCCCGTGTGAACGCGCACGTGCGTCTCGAGGCTCCGCGACGACGTGAAGCACTTCCCGCAGTAGCTGCAGACGAAGCGCCGGTCCCTGCAGTACCGGTTCAGGTCCAGCGGGTCCAGTCTGGATCCGCCGAGCCCGAGCGCTAAAGGGAAACCAGCGGCGTTCAGGTCCGAGACTTTGTCCAGGAGCGCCGGCCGGTGAGCGACGGGCAGCATGCTCGCCAGACCCGGATTGGTCCACGAGGAGCACAGATCCAACTCGGTGTCGAAGGGGAGGGAGCTGATCAGAGACACGCCCCTCTTCAGCTCCGAGGACCCGGGCAGGGAGGCCGGGCTTCCTCCCGACCCGAGGAGGAACAGCTTCCTCGACTGGACCGCCGACGGGGCTTCGCCGTCCGACTCTGACGCCAAATCAAACACCACGTCTGAGGAGTTGCTCTGAGCGCCGCCCGCGGGGCCCGGAGACCCCGGGGACCCCAGAGCACTGTGGGGTTCTGGATGCTGGACTCGCTCCGACGATCCGTTGCTGTTCTGATCCCACGGCCTCGGGTCGGACGCCGAGGCGGAGAGCATCATCCCGGAGGGTCCCTCCTCGCTGTCGTCTGACAGCTGCACCTCGGTTCCTGCAGACATCAACAGACAGTTCAACACTGTCTGTTTCTAATAAAAACCCGGTTTGGACTAAAAACAGAAACCACGGCGCCGTCTGTCTCTCGTGTTTGATGCTCACGGATTGACACAGAAAGACACAGCATCAATAAGAGCTTCTAAAAACAACTTCCTGTCACAAACAGTAACTGTCTCACCGTTTCTATTCGGAGGCTGAATGAGGCCAGAAATTAACAGTCAACCCACTTCGGACTGTTACCCAGCATGCATCATGTCTGTGTGTTGTGGTCAGACACACAACCCCAGGGGCTGCTGGGTAATGAGACAACCTACTCTGACCCTATTTAAAGCTCCAGTGTGACACATTGAGGATCTATATAATATTTATAGGTTAGTGATCAGCTGCCATCCTACCCGCTGCCCCTTTAAGGATCGACTGATCATTATTAATGTGTTTGTTCACACTGATAAAGGTTAATAAAAATAACATTCATTTTATAATAAAACCACGAGATGACATTAAATCGTACACACTAAATTAACCTTCACAATAAAGTCCACAAACAGCCTTAATTTCTACTGTTTGTTGACTTTATATGGAATTAAACTGAATATTTTCTGTGTTTATTTAATGTGAAACTTCTGTAAATGTCGAGGTTTGTTTGTTCCTCTGCTTTGTTTACTTTAACCTTTCTGTAACAGATAAACCTCCACCTCTTCCCGCTCTGTGGTCGTCTCTCACCGTCATCGTGGAGGAGCAGCTCGTCCGTGGCACCGCCGGCGTCCTCCTCCTCTTTTGGCGTTTCCTCCTTTATCAGGACGACATCCTGGTCGCTCGACTCCTCGACAGCGACTGAGGAAGGATCCTGAGAGCAGAAAACAACAAACATGTGTCACTAACAGTCTTTAGGGTCCCATATTAAACCCATTAACCCCTCAAACACAGTGAATAAGTAAGAGAGTTGAGTTCAATCACCTCTTTGCTCGCAGGCGTCGGCTCCGACATCGGGACCCTTCCGCTTCTGTTGAGGTTTGTTTTTGGCTGTTTGGTCCCGACTGCGCTCGGTAAGGCAGCACGCACAGAAACAGAAAATTATAACGTCAAACATTTATTATTGTTTTATTACATAAAAAGATGTTTTTACGTTTTAACAAGATGAATAATATATTGTAACAACAGGAAATTGTTTAACTTTGTGTAACGTTTCCTGGTGGTGCAGCAATAAACTTCCTCCACCACCGACACGGACTCAGAACAGTATAATAAATATATTATATACTATATTTATTATAAACTATATATAGTAAACAAATGTTGGGTCTCGGTTAAAATGAGTTTTCTTTTTGATCAGAAGATTATGACCAACATCACAAAGTCCATTAGATTAGGTTTAAAAGTTATTCTCCTTCAGGTCAGGATTCATCAATGTGGCAGTAGATTAGAGCTTTATTATCTTAACAGACAAACAAATCCAAATCCATGGAAAGACTGAATTCACCCTCACAAAGCTCCTCCTTATATACTCTTGCACTCTGTCACAACTCCAGCCCACCTTCAACCTCTGACACAATGGTGTAATTCCCTCTGGAAAGACCCTAAAACTCCACCAACCAGTTGTTTTTCTGTTCTACTGGTGTCTGATCAGCCCAATTATCCTGCACCTGTTGGGCCTATGTTCTTATCACAGAACCCACAGGCTTCATGGACTACACCACATTTTCTTTTTACTCTCCTTTCTTCAGGATTACACCATTAGAATCTAGTTTACTGTACTTCTGTTTTTTAAAAACCATGCATTACCTTTTCCTTACACCATTATGTCACAGATGTCTTTTACTGTATTTTTAAAAACTTTTATAAACTTTATAATATGATGAGAAACTTGTGTTACAACCACACACATACATTTGATAAGTGCTATAACTACACTCTATATGTTCCACACATTAAATCAAACTTTACTAAAACCATGGTGCTTACTACTTCATTAACATCATTGTGTGCTTATATAAAATCTACTCGACTTAACACTCAAAGATCTTTACTTTAAAACAAAGTGCTCTTTACTTGGTTTCCAGTGATCAGTGTGAACAAACCACAGTGCTTACAACATAATGTACAAACATTTGTGTGATTACTAACTTTATAATATTCACTAACTTACACTAAATATTATACTACACAATGTATGCAGAATAATAAATATATAACATTAACATATGAATGTGAGACGTGTATGAGCAGTGGACTTTTGGTGCGGAAGGCTCTCCATACAGCGGCAGGTATCGGTCTCATTCATCCCGCTGATGGAGCAGCAGAGGCGGACACACTGCCCCCCCTCCCCCGGGTGCCCTGTGGAGCGGACAGGCCCCTATAACTCACCGGCAGTGAAGTCCACCACCCCCCCGCCGCCGCCGCCGCCCGCCGCCTCCCGGTGCCCCCGGGCGATGATGGTCTCTATGAGCTCCAGCTTCCTCCGCAGCGCGTCGTTCTCCGACCGGCTGCGGCTGACCTCGAGCTGCAGCACCGCGTAGCTGTCGTCCACCAGCTCGCAGATCTCCGCCACCGCCGCTCTGGTCAGCGCCTCCATGATGGACGTCAGCTGGGAGTGAAACGCCTTGTAACTCGTCATCTTGTTGGGGACTCTGGAAAAACGACGACAACCGCCGGAATGAAACGAAGAGCGGCGAACGACGCGGTGCGTTCAGGGGCCAGACAGAGAGAGAGAGCCGGTTGGTTCCTTCTACAACCCGAGCGGAGAGCGACCGGCGGCGGGGAGAGACGGACGGAGGCTGCGGTTCATCGTTGTTGTTTGTTGTTGGTCGGTTGTCTCTTCCTCAGCGTGTCCCTCAACAACTTCCGTAATGCCACTTTCAAAATAAAAGTTCGGAGTGAGTCAGTTCCGTGCTGCCTTCGTGGGAGGCTTGTAAACTTGAGTTTTCTCTTTTTTTATTTACAACTTTTTACTTAAACTCTCTACAGTTTGCTTAAAAAAGGAGTTAACAGACAGAAATAATAAAGGGTAAAATAAATAAAGTAAAAATATATCAATAAAATAACAAATTAATAACGAAAAACCAAAAAGTAAGTAGAAAAAAATTTAAACATATTTATAATAAAAACCTCTAATGAATATAAAGTAAATATATGATACAGAAATGTATGAATGTATGAATAATGAAAAAATAAAACTCTGTGCACTACCCAGTTTGTTGTTGTTGTTCGTATTTATTTACTCTTACGTCATTGTGTTGACTAAAATTAATAATATATATATAATACTTAATAGTTTATTTATTTCCTTTTAAAGTACTATTATCAGTCTATAAAACAGCCACCACGTGTAGTTTATTTAATAGTACATTTTAGTATCTTAGTAGAGTTGTAGTATTTCCCACAGCTCTTGAACGCAGCAGCAGGTCTGTTACCACGGCAACGGCTGACAACAGAGGAAGATGGTTTACAGTAAGTTAAGAACATCCCAGAATAACTCTAAATAAGACTGTGTACGGTTTATCTGCATGTTTACTGCAGTTATTAGTTAATTATTAATATATTAGTGGAGTTTGTTCAGAGCCGCAGTGGTTGACAGCTCCGAGCGGACGTGAACGTTACAGCTGTAACGTTAGCTGTAACGGTCGTTAACGGTCGTTACAGCTAACGGTCGTTACAGCTAACGGTCGTTAACGGTCGTTAATTAATCAGTTAAACTAATGTTAATTATTATTTATGTGATTTTACTCCATTAACAGTTAGTAACGGTTGGTGACGTCACTCGCAGTGCTGTTAGTTATTGTTAGTTAACAAAAGGTTAGTTAGTTATTACTAGTAGCTTACAGTGCTAATGGAGGCTAGTTAGCTAACCTACTTTAACATTGAGCTACTAGCATGCTAATGTTACTAGTAATGTAATCCAATTACTATTAATTACTACCAGAGTAAGACATTACTAGTATTCATATTACAGTTATTACATTACTGTAATGTAACTAATTACTAATAATACCATTAATACCAGTAACTAGTAATGTAACTAATAACTAATAATACCATTAATACCAGTAACTAGTAATGTAACTAATTACTAATAGTTACATTTCAGTAGTATTATTATATCACAATATTTAATTAACTAGATTAAATATAGATATTATTGATTATTATTATTGATATTAAGTTACCAGTAACTATTACTGATAAATAATTACTGATTATTCCATTGATACCAGTAACTATTACTGTAACTTATTACTAATAGATACCATTAATACGTAATAGATATTATTAATTATTATTGATAGATATTATTGATAGATATTGTAACTAATAGATAGTTACATTTATAGTATTATTATATCACAATATTTAATTAACTAGATTAAATATAGATATTATTGATTATTATTATTGATATTAAGTTACCGATCATTATTGATAGATATTACTGATTATTATTGATAGATATTATTGATAGATATTATTGATTATTATTGATAGATATTATTGATAATTATTGATAGATATTACTGATTATTATTGATAGATAATATTGATAGATATTATTGATTATTGTTTGTTATATGTTGTAAAACTTTACAAAATTTACTTTCATAAACTTTCCCTTTAAAAGGAGACTTTTAATCTCAATTACTGGTAAATTAATGTTAAATAAATCATATCGTGTGTCTGTGTGTGTGTGTGTGTGTGTCTGTGTGTGTGTGTGTGTGTGTGTGTCTGTGTGTGTGTGTGTGTGTGTGTGTGTGTGTGTCGTGTGTGTGTGTGTGTGTGTGTGTGTGTGTGTGTGTGTGTGTGTGTGTGTGTGTGTGTGTGTGTGTCTGTGTGTCTCTCTCTGTGTGTGTGTGTGTGTCTGTGTGTGTGTGTGTGTGTGTGTGTGTGTGTGTGTGTGTGTGTTGCAGTAACAGAGGAGCTGTTGCGTCGTCGGGCCGAGCACAATGAGTGTGAGATCTTCTCCCTGGAGGAGGTCTCTCTGCACCAACAGGACCTGGAGAGGATCGAGCACATCGACAGGTGGTGCAGAGAGCTGAAGATCCTCTACCTGCAGAACAACCTCATCCCCCGCATAGGTGAGCCCCCCCCACACACACACACACACACTGAGGAAGTACCAGGATGTAGTGAAACCTTCAGAAGAGTTACTTTTATTAAAGTTACCTCCTGTAGCTTTAAGTTTTATTTCACATTCAGATAAATATTAATCCTGTTTATTGTGTTTCAGATAAATATTAATCCTGTTTAATGTGTTTCAGATAAATATTAATCCTGTTTAATGTGTTTCAGATAAATATTAATCCTGTTTTATGTGTTTAAGATAAATATTAATCCTGTTTAATGTGTTTCAGATAAATATTAATCCTGTTTAATGTGTTTCAGAGAACGTGGGTCGCCTGAAGAAGCTGGAGTATTTGAATCTGGCCTTGAACAACATTGAAGTCATTGAAAACCTTGAAGGTGAGTAAGCAGAAGAACCCATGGTGACACTTTAAATGTGCTTGAATCTTCCATATACAGCTTTATGCTTGACCTTAATTAGAGATTGATGGTTCATTATTAGACACTGTTTGGTTTTTATCAGCATTTCTTTACATTATTCAGTTTTAACCAACTGTTACCATCACTTCCTGCTGATTGTTTCAGTAACTAATCATTATTTTCTTATTAAATTGATTCATGCTCATCTTGTTTTGTCTAAAATACAAAGATATTTAATTTCCTATAATGTCGTAATGACGAGGAGCAGCCGTTACACCTTTACCTGCGAACGTCAGCGGTGGAAGTAAAAGTACTAATATCACACTGTGGAAATCCTCCAGTACAACCTCAAGTCCTGCATTCAAAACCTGACGTACATAGAATCAACTATTAAAAGTATTAAAAGTATTAAAAGTATTTATTATACAGAACAAAGGTCCCCTCAGTGTTTTATGATTAAATATGATGTTTTTATTTGAGTTCAAGAAGTTAAAGAAGAGAATCTTCATCCTTCACTTCATCACAAACATTCATAATCAACCCGTCTGGAGATACATGGTTTTACATGGTGTGTGTGTGTGTGTGTGTGTGTGTGTGTGTGTGTGTGTGTGTGTGTGTGTGTGTGTGTGTGTGTGTTTCCAGGCTGTGAGAGCCTCCAGAAGTTGGACCTGACTGTGAACTTTGTCGGCCGTCTGAGCAGCGTAGAGTCTCTGAGACTGAACACCGAGCTCACGGAGCTGTTCCTGGTGGGGAACCCGTGCACCGAGTTCGAGGGCTACCGGCAGTATGTGGTCGCCTCTCTGCCCCAGCTCAAGGTAACGCTACCTGCCCCCCCCTAGGGTTAGGGCAACAACCTGCAGCTGAGGAAGAATCAACCTCCTCTGTAGTGATGCTGTTTGTGTTCGTCCTCAGTGGCTGGACGGGTCGGAGATCAGCCGGTCGGAGAGGATCCGAGCCTCTCAGGGACTGGAGGAGGTCAGGAGGCGAGTCCGGGAGCAGGAGGAGGAATACCTGAGGAGGAGAGCCAGGGAGAAAGAGGAGGCAGCAGGAGAGGAGAAAGGAAGCGAGGGGAGGAAACCAGGCAGCGACTGGTACACTGACACCAACACAGCGTGAGTGCAAACACTGCCTGTGACTGCTGTGGAGAAAGAAGCTACTGTGTTGCATTCTGGGAAATGTAGGAGGGAATTTATATTAAGATTTAGATTATATTTACAATATTCAGGTCAGACACAAACTAATCTGCTGACCTAGGAAAGGTCTTCATGATAAAACACTGAACCTGACATCATCTTCTCCCTGCAGTCCGTTGGAAGAGGAGAATAAGGAGAACCAGGAGGTGGAGGAGAACCAGGAGGTGAAGGAGGACACGGTGGCGAGCTCTGACCTGGAGGACGAGCGGCGTGAGAGGGAGTTCTGGAACACGCCGTGTTCGTTCAGCCCCGAGTCTCGTCTGGAGGCTCACCGCCACCTGGAGGAGAAGAAGAGGGCCAAAGAGAAGTAAGTGCTGAGTTGAAGAGAACACACACATTTAACTTGAGTGTTTAAAACTAGATAAAATAAAATAAAGTGTTCACAATGTCAGAGATTAAAGTGCAGTTGTGACTCTTTGACTGCAGTTCAGTATTTTGGCCACAGAGTGTCGCTATAACACCAACCATCCAGCTGAGGCTGCCGTCCACAGTGACTCACAGTGACTACTGACACATACAACATATGGCCAAAAGTATGTGGACACCCGAATGAGAGGCTGCAGTTTCCTTCTCTGCTGTGGAAAACAGACGAGATAAATCTTCCACAACCGACAGCTAATGCTTCAAACTGTGCAGAGCAGATCAGTTTACCGTCATTTAACAGACAGTCCGTTAAGAACAGACTGATAGTGACTGACACAGGGCTTAAAGAAGATAGTGGAGACGTGTATTTTTAAATCGAGGTTCAAGGTTACTTTATTTGTACCCATTAGGTAGCTGCAGTAGAAAACACATAAAAACAACAGATAATAGACAAACATGATCATTTTTTTATCAGTTCAGTGTTTTCTTCTCCTTTGTTCTATTAGCTTAGCATCCTTTTCTTTAGCCGTTGTTCAGGTCTTGAAAGTTTAAACCTTTAAAAGTAACAGTTGAATTTAGTTTTCTTCAGAGAAATGGACAAACTGCTGACATATAAGCCTCCTTTTTATAAATGTAGAGTCTTCTTATACCCATTAAAATCAGGAAGGCCCTTGAAGCGACCGCCCCTGTGAAGCTTTGGTGCTCCTGACCCTCAGGTTGGGAACCACTGTGATACACGGAGGCTTAAAACAGGAAGAGACACAAACCAGGAGAAACAGACCCAGACCAACAGTGCCGGAGGGTCCACATACTTTTGGTCACATAAGGTTACAAGTACCTCGTTTTACAGTCGGCGTTGAATCATTTCTCATGGATACTGACGCTGCAATGTGCCGAGGCTCGACCAATCACCAGATCAATCAATCAGTCTCTTTATCGACGTCGAGGTGATTTGTTCCCAGCGCAGGATGGACAGGAACATCAGTTCAACAGCAAAACTCTGACGTAAATATACGAGGTTCTGACGGCGATGAGCAGGACAGATGCTTGTGTCGTGTTAATGAGGAGGTTTCAGGGTCGGAGGAGCAGGTTCAGAGGGTCCGAGAGGATTTCCGTCTGACGTTTCCTTTATATAGGTTTGTGACTAATGAGTCAGTTGGTGAGCTGGAAGATGCCAATAATCCTGAGTGATTTACAGACGGTGTGTTTAGGTGAGTGACTGACGGTATGAGCGCTCGGGGCTCGGCGGTCGAGCTCTAGTTGAGTGAACGGCTTCATTTTACTCCCCATTACACCCCTGCTCCCCCCTATAGCTCTCTCACAGTCAAACAGCTAACTCACTAGCTACCTAGCAGTATCGTAAACTTGAATCAAAACAGGAAGTATGGTGAAGTAGTAAAGCCCCTCTCTTGTTAAGCCGCTGCACACAACCGGACGCAGTCACAGACGAGCTGCTGAACAGAGTGAAACATTTAGCAGCTAATGAGACAGATAGTTTGCTCAGAAGTCGGTGGAGACCAAAAACAGAGCTGAAACAGTGAATACTGACTTATTAACCTGATATTGACTCACACTCATCAGGCGGACACAAACACGACTCCGGTCTGCTCAGTACTGACTCTGCTCAGTCTGCTCAGTACTGACTCGGCAAAGTATTTGTTAAATTCTAATTAATTCTCCCGCCATGCTGCTAATTAGTACTCACCCTTAAGGTGACCCTCTTGCCGGGGTGTTAATTGGGTGTGTGTGTTGCACATCCTCTTCCTTCCTCTCTGCGACACGCTGACACTCACACACACACACACACACACACACTCTCTCTCTCTCTGTGTCAGCGCGGTGATATCAGCCGGCAGCTGTGAGGTTTCACTCAGCGAGAGCAGCCAGTGGACTGATGAGGAGACGTCATTGGTTAGAGTCAACACACCGATTATGTGTTAGCAGTCGGCTGCAGCTGACACACGAACACACAGCAGACCTTCGAGATCCACTTTGTTTATGTGGTTTATTGTTTTATTTACTATTTATTATTTGTATTAGACACCGCTCAGATGAAATCTGCTGAGAAAAATGGAAGAACACATTAACCAGCTGCTTCTTAAAGGTTCTTTACACAAAATTAACTTTACACTCGATTAAATAAGTAGAAATAATCACCAGAATCGTCTCTGTTAGTGTTTCCAACAATCAACAACTCTGGTTTGGTGGAAATAATCCTTAATTCACCGACGCAGATGATAAAAACAGCAGTTTCAGTCGGAGCAGACCGGCTATGGAAACAAACCACAGAGAGGCTGCGATACAACACAGGCAGAGGGAGAGAGACACCATGTGACTCTGTATATAGAGAATATAGTATTTAATATCTCATATAACAACATTTAAATCTGTAGGAACATATTTCTCAATCCAATCTCCAGTTTTTCTTTGTTTCTATATCTAATTTTCATATTTCTTTTAATTGATTTTCATGATAAAAAGATCATAACTGCCTGTCTCAGATCATTTCTATACATTAAAAAGTGTTTGGAAGGTAGATTTTATCCATTAAATATTGTGTTTAGTAGCCTGAATGTAACATCTTGCTCTCACAACCAAATATAAATTGTCTTTGTGCGTCTCCAGTGGATGTTTCTATGCCGATGAGCAGTTATTTATCTCCCGACAGGTCGTCTCTTGTTTGAAGATATTAATCTCTCTCAGCCCGACTGCAGTGTCCTTGAAGGGGGATCCCTCTCTGCGATGGGTTCCTTCGTTTTCATCCACAACTTCTTGCTGTTTTCAGTTGTTGTTGTCGTCATTGCGCTGACGTCAGCCGTTGGTATGAAAGTGGGCGGTATGAAGCCAGCACTGTGGTTGTGATTAAAGACCACACAAATAAGTCTGACATGTAATATATCTCTAGAATAATAAATACATGAAGCCTCCTACACTCATCCAGCTCCTCTGAGACTTCAGGGTCGGTCCGGAGGTTCAACTTTGTCCAAGGGCACTCTGACAGAGGCTCTGTGATTGCAACATATATATAAACCCTTCAGGTGGGTCTGGTTATTAAACCATCAGCCCTCTTGTTACTGGACACATCTACTGTAGCTCAGTGGGCCGGAGGAGGAAGAGGATATCACTCTCTTTAGATCTTTCCAAGCTGTTTTATGGCTGATGTTCTGAGTAATCTTACCGAAAAGGCACAAAGAATAAGTGTTTCTTTATAGGTTGACTTCTTTTACTTCTTAAAGTGTAACTAATCCTGCTATCTCCCTTTTAAATTTAAAATGTTTAAAATGCAGGCGAGAGAAACATACAACGCTCACTTTAGCAGGACCAGAACATTTCAACATGCATCGCAATGTTTTAGAAAAGTTGCAGTGAAATCAGATATTTGAGGCTGCAACAATCCAAAAAGTGAAATCCTGGAGGGACTGATGAATAGTGAACTGCTATGATTCAAAATTCAAGAGGATTGGTTGAATTTGCTTTAAATGTGCAGTCACAACTTTTACTGGAGGAACTGACACATACAGTGTTATCTCAGCTCAGTTTTGTAGTTCTTTTGCATTAAAAATGGCAGAAACTAAATATTTTGCGCGGGAAGAGTTGGCATATCGACGCACAACTCAACCTTGATGTTGCAGAACCTTTCTACTGCAGACATTCATGTTCTGCTGCTGACTGGCAGCTACCATCTGCTCCGCTGCTGCCACTGCCAAGGACAAGGGCAGACTGCAGCGTATTAGTGGCTGTGATGATGAGAAGGTGATTGGCTGATACCTGCCGTCCCTTCAGGCCCCTGAGGCGAGCTGGAAAGATTGTGGCCGACCCCTCCCACCCTGGAACACTCTGGTCCATCAAGACCAAAACCTCTTCAACGTGGGCCCCCAACATTTAACTGGATGTGAAACGTTAATGCAAACCTATATTACACATATTCTTATATATATTACATTTATATTTACTGTTCACTGTACAGCAGATATATTTTACATTCAGGGTGCTCTGATCAGGTTATTTGGGGCCAATCGTTGGGTCTATGTAAAGCCTCTTGTTTATCTTGTGGCCTTATTTATTTAATTATATATATTAACCCTCTGGCTTTGTTCAAAATCACTATCCACTCAGCATGTTTGTGGTCAAAAATCTTGTCTGATCTCTTGTGTTCAGGTCTTTAAAGTTTAGAACTTAAATAATAATCTAAACTTTAAGAACAATACTATACTTTTAAGAATAATTCAAGTTTTAAATATGGACATATTGGTCTGCTGTGTAGGAATAGGACAGATACAGGTCAGAGGTCAGTGCTGTACATCCCGGGCATAGGTCAGTGCTGTAGATGAAGGTTGGAGGTCTGTAATGTCTATCTGATTCATATAATAAGAACAATAACGATATTATTAATATTAACTTTCCAAGTCCAATAATTTGACACTAATTGCCTTTCAGAGACAGTTTATAGAAATTCCAGAGTCCATTTGACGATAATACTGTTCCAGAGGTCAGGAAGGATACAGGTCAGAGGTCAGTGGTGTAGATACAGTATTTCTATGTTTTGCTCAAAAGTCAGACACATGAGACCACAAAGGATAAAGTAGAAATGGAATAAATCATCTTAATGAGCTCAGAATTGTTGTTTTTGCTCAAATTTGTTCTTTTTTGTTGTTTTGTTTTTTGTACTTCATACACCGTTTGTAAGGCGAGGTATTTTTCTATCCCAGGAAAAGCTTTTGTGTTTCTATTCCCCCTCCTCTCACCCAGCTGACCCGTGAACACAGCACTGACTCACTGCGTTTAGTTTTCATAACCCCTGGAGCCACCGAGTCGCGAGTATCTGAGCCGCGAATGACGAACAGCGTAAGAAGTGTCCTGCTGTGTTCGTGCTCTCACCGCTGCTTAATCTCCTGCCCACAGGAAACTCTTTACATTAGCCCGAAGGTATTTCAGTGTTTGTTTCCTGGCTGTGCTCGTATTGGTTCTGTCAGATTAGTTTAATCAACCCCTCTCTCTTCTGCGGCTAGATGTCTTCTCCTGCACTCCTCAAAGGGGGATGTGTCATTTGTAACACTTCGTTTATCAGCTGACACGAATGCAGTAGATCTGGGAGGGAATACACGGCAGTTCTTCAGTACACAGAATAAACCTGTTTTATTCCTTACTTGAGATGAAATGTCAGAAAAATAACTCACTAAGGAGAACAATAAACCTGTTTCTATTGATAAGAAGTCAGGTTATACCCCTGAATGAGCCCTATTTGAAGAAACCCAGTGTGATGGCTAAGAAGCCAACCCGTGACAGTCTGCCTCCTAATCCATATCACAGAAACATCCCAGGCCTGCATGCTGTCCAAGCAGAAAATCATGGTGATACGGTGTTGCCGCTTTTATCTTCTCCCTGCGCGAGCAAGGCTGTCAGAGCGCGCTGACTTGATGCATGCAGTCGTGCCATCACTGGATTGTCAGGAAAGATGAATTTCCTGCTCCTGAGGTGGATTCAGTGATAAGGTCAGCCAGGAGACGCTTCGGTGTTTAATGGCTGCTCTGTTCCTCTCAGAGGAAGGATAACACCAGACGAACAGCAGATCCAAGCTGCAGTCTGAAGAACTGAACCTTAAAAACACAGCTGAGCTTTAAGGTCGAGGCAAACTGACGAATGATGAATGGATGTAGTTAGTTGATGTGCACGCATGAGATGGACGGGTGGAGATTTGCATAAAGAGTTCTCTGCATGAGATAACATGCGCTATGTTGGTGAATGTTTAAATGACGATATTTTTAAAATGCACCAGCTTTTAAAACATGATTGATAACACAGCATTAATGCTAATTCTAAGCTATTTCCTTGGGTTGTAGAGGATCTGTTACTGGGCGAGAAAGCTGGATTCACAAGATAACTAGGATCCATCTTGCCAGGCTTCAAGTCAATGTGCTTGTGTCTGAGTCACAATGGTTCAGACCAACCAGCGTCCTGAGAGGGACGACTTACAGCAGCTATGGGAGTGTGACACCAGTGAAAACAACAATGCTATCAGAACGTGATTTTTTTAATTGAAAGAAGAGCAAAAAGCAGCACTGAAGGTCAATAGGTTGAGGTTTGGCTGTGACAGACGGTGATAGACAGCGTGCGGTATATCAGAGGGTTTGCTCAGTGTTTGTAGCTCTGTGGGTGAATCCGGTGCCGCAGACAGAGTCGTACATGGCTAACTGAAAGCTGTCTAAACGGATCGCCCTCTACAGAAACCAACGGTGGAGAGCTGTCACCACTGATGTCTCCATGACTCAGCTGTTTGATAGACGCCCTGTCACACCCCTCTTTGGAAAAAAAAAGTCCCAGAACAGGATTTTATAGTGCAGAGAGCCACACTCTGACCTTGACAAGTCAACGGTGTACAGCGTAGGATGGAGATGGAGGCGGGAGAAAAGCTGCTGTTGGTTTGATCTTTGGAAGTGGACATTTGCCCCCTGATTCACCCCGACACACACACACACACACACACACACTATGTCTGACAGTGTCCACAGACTGAAACTGGGAAATGAGCACAAATTATCACCCAAATAGTTGTATTTTTTTGGGTAGAAATGGATTCCAATAGGTGACCCATCCATCAGTCCTGCTCTTCAAATTTAGCTTCAACTGGTATGTTTCTAAAACAATTAAAATCTTTTCATACACAGAAGATTATGTGGTCTGAAGGTTATTTATGGGAATAAATGTTTTTAGCATTAAACAGTGAAACTCTGATTTAACACTCGTTCTACTGTAGCATGAATAGACTGACCGGCTGACTGACTGTGTGACTCTAACATGGATGACCACTGCTGTAATGCCACTATTAACCCAGGAATTGTTAGTGCCTCTTCGAACCGCTCGCTTCCACAGCACCACTTAACCTTATTACAGGTCTCTCCGCAGCCCTCCGCTCCAATAAAAGCATGAACTTAACATGCCTGAGATCAGCAGATTGAATGCTCCTCCGATCACGCCGTCACACCCTCTCCTCTCTGTGGCTGACGCACAGCTGCAGAGGTCGCGACGGCCGACCCTCCGCAGAGCGCTAAACACTCACTCGCCTCGACTGCCGGCGCCTTCATCTGCTGCTCAGTGGGGTTTATAGATGGACGTATGGGAAGTGAGCGTTTCCCTGCCTCTCTCTCAGCAGACGGGGGATGACAATACAGTTCATCATTCAGAGGTGGTGGCTTCAGTTGAAAAATACACAAAATCTGACCTTTTTTTGTAAGACAGCACAGTCCGATGTACTCTACTTCCTCTTCATCAGCACCAGCTTTTGCGGCATTAAAAGCAGAACTTTACAGTTTGTGTTGTTTAACATCAGAGCCAGAATATACTCAGTTACTCCTTCACTAAGCCAAGCTATTAATGAGCTTCATTTACCGTAAAACTTCCAATAAAAGCAGGGTCCCTAATAGACACAGGTCTCATTTAAAAGCCTGGTGTGGCTACACGTTTTGACAAATAAATGCAGGTCTCCAATAGAGGCCTGGTTTGGATTTTATAGAAATTATCTCGATGTATAAAACCTCTTAAAACCCACCAGTTCACCTGCTTGAGCGAGTTTCAAGTCGTTTGATCTCCTACACAAATATAAATGTTTAGACCTCTGTCAATATGTACATAATGAACATCATTAGATCAGTTATAGATTCTCAAGTCAATCGTTCAATATATTTAACGAAAAGTATCAACAACAAAGTATAACGTTAATTCATTCTGACTTACAGGTAACATGGTAAACAAGAGAGGAGGAAAAAACCTCTGAAGCATCATAATCATCATGTTAGTTGTCAAATTTGCTGAACAAAACTCAAGAGAAGCAGCAGTTAGAGTTTAGTTTTGTGCTAAAGGAATTAAAGGCCTGTCCCAAATAGAGACCTGTCCCAAATAGAGGCCTGTCCCCAATAAAGGCAGGGGGAGTTCAGTGATTTAACCAAATGAACTCCTGGGCTATTATTATAAGTTTTACGAGTCTTCAAGTCTCTCTCTGTTTTCCTTGTTGACTAGCAGTCGTTAGATGAAGCCAGCTAGTCGTTCACAGCAGCCTGTTAAACAGAAACAGCAGTAATGATTGTGAATCAGAACAAGCAGCAAGGAGACTGAACCTTTAGTTAATTTATTCCAACACAGTGTAACATCACACAGTCTGGTTGTTCAACACATGGTTTAAACAACTTCCAACTTCCCTGAAACTAATCCTGGCGGACTGATCGATACGATGGATGATGGATAATGTTGACAGTTACTGACTGACACAGTTTGATGGTTTTGTTTTGTTCTGTTGTTTCCATTTAAATCATAACTGGTATGCTGTCTTGGCCACATCTCCCTTGGAAAATATTTAAATAAAAATCTTGATTATCAAATTATTGCTGTTTTATTAGTCGGGCAGTAATCAGCCTTTTTCCATCGTTCTGTGAAAGTACCTTTGGTCTACTGGCTCTTCCTCTAACAGCTCACTGTGGCTCCTTCTTGTCTCGTTACTCCCTCACATATTTAAAAAAATTTCCAAAATGACCGTTGTCTTGTTTCCTAGATGCATTTTAGATGAGCGATAGCGACCACTGCTTCATAATAAAAGTAGACTGATGTTTCTCCAGTTAAATGCTTTTAATGTGAAGTTGCAGCAGTAGGAAATATTTGCATTAGCAGTAAGATAACACTGCCTTTAACTCGATAGTTCGTAACACTGTAAATATATAAATACTGAAATACTTTCATCAGTGGCCGCTTCTTTTCTGTGTGTGTGTGTGTGTGTGTGTGTGTGTGTGTGTGTGTGTGTGTGTGTGTGTGTGTGTGTGTGTGTGCGTGTGTGTGTGTGTGTCCCCTGCAATAAAACCCTCTATTGCCAATTAATCTGTTGTGTCTCTCTTTATGGACACCCCTGGAGGAGAGGTGGCGCTCTCCTTCACCTCGGAGACCTCATAACTCTCCTCCTGTCGTCTGTCAGTCTGTACACACACACACACACACACACACACACACACACACACACACACACACTCATGATTTGCTGTTTCTCTGCAGGGAGAAAGAGAAGAAGCCGAAGGCCCCGAGGACGCTGATCACGGCCGATGGACGAGTCATGAACGCCAACGAGCCGAGGTACCTGCAGACACATTGTCTGTCTCCTGCCTCCCGACTCTGTTTCCCCTGTGTGGTCTCTGTAATCCTGAGCAGTGCATTGTGGGACACCGACTGGCGCTGTGTGTTTTTCTGCTGTATCGAGTCTCTTCAGCCTCGCCGCTCTGGGACGCTACGACGGCGTGAAATACAAATACTGAACATGACGTGTTGATGTGACGGTGGTTTGCCTGTGGTTGGTTTTTCAATAGTATGATGTGTCATTAGTGCGGTCTGTGGATTATCTATAAAATATGTATTTTTGATTTTGAGGTGAACTTTCCCTTTAAGTAAAGCCTCTGACTCCTTCCTCGTTGCAGCGGTCCATTACTGGCAGCTGTGATCGACTGTGAGGGAAATCAAACAATCAACTGCACCCGCGAACGCAGCAGAAAACAACAGAATTGGTTTTGTTCTGTTGAGCCAGAGCAACAGAAAACACCCAATCAGCTGCTTCAGTGTAGTTTTGTGTCACAGCTCCAGTCTCAGTTTCCTCTCACAGTTCGTCATAACTGTAATGTGTTTTTTTTTCTTTCTGTGAGACCCTCGATTACCTCGTCGTGGTCAAACTGCTCAAACAGCGAGGCGGGTAAAGCGAGCGGCTGCTGTGTGATTGCTTTATTTGTGGCCTTCGGCTTTTGATCTCTGGCATCTGAGAGAACAGAGACCAGCTGATGGGGGGCGGGGGGGCAACCTGATAGCCGCGGGCCACCCCGGTCTCCCTCCATTAGCCAGAGGTTTATATCCAGAGCAAGGCCAAGGGGGTCGAGGCCTTAAAACACGGCTGATTTCATTTGTAATATGAGCGGAGGACGCTCTCAGGTCAGGAATGCATCCTCTGTGTGATACATCACTCCACAGACAGGAACCGTACAGCTCGCTGCAAAACATCACTAATGTTAACAGTGTCTTCCCCACGTTCACGCATGGCTTGTAAAGTGACGTTCTGGAGATTGATGCCCCTCAAACACAACATTTATTATAAGACAATACTGAATGAGTTTGGTTGAGCTGTCAGAGGCTGCAGACCTGCCAACACTCACGTTTTCCCGGGTTCGAGGCCATCGTGTTTCGCCCGAGAAGATCCTGTAATTTGCCCTCAAACTTTATTATGAATAATCGCCATCGACCCTCACCCCCAAATTCAACTGGGACCAGACACGATCCAGCTGCTGCATACAGCTGAAGTGTCAGTTAAAATCATTCAGTTAAGATAAAGATGCTGAAAGCAGTCAAAGGGTTGGAGATTAAAGAAGTGGAATTATCCAATTATTGTTAGAGTTGTTGTAAAAGTTGAAGTGGAAGTTGCAGTGTTTGAATATACAGTGAGAAACACTTCAACAGCTTACAATACAAACATTTGGAGAGGTTTTTTAAGGCGGTATTCTCTCTCTGTGTGCACACAGGCTGGATTTTTCTCTGACCGAAGACGAAGAAAACAACACCATTGTCTTAGACCTGGCAGTTTACAGGTAGGATCAATGAGCACAAACTTTCTTTCTTTACTGGGGTTTTTAATTAATATTAACCTGCCATAAAACTTCCAATAAAAGCAGGGTCCCTAAAAGACACAGGTCTCATTTAAAAGCCTAGTGTGGCTACACGTTTTGACAAATAAATGCAGGTCTCCAATAGAGGCCTGGTCTGGATTTTATAGAGATGATCTTGATGTATAAAACCTCTTATACATCTTGAGCGTTTTGATTTCCTACACAAATATAAATGTTTAAACTTCTGTCGATATGTACATAATGAACATCATTAGATCAGTTATAGATTCTCAAGTCAATCGTTACTATATCGTCACTATATTTAACGAAAACGATCAACAACAAAGTATAACGTTAATTCGTTCTGACTTACAGGTAACATGGTAAACAAGAGAAAAGCATCATAAGAATCATGTTAGTTGTCAAATTTGCTGGACAAAACTCAAGAAAAGCAGCAGAGTTTAGTTTAGTTTTGTGCTAAAGGAATTAAAGGCCTGTCCCAAATAAAGGCCTGTCCCCAATAAAGGCAGGACAAACAAACAAACGCCTGGGCTATTATTAGAAGTTTTACGGTATTTGGCTTGTTGGTTTATCCCATAATAACATATTATATTTTATACCCATATATGTGTTCTTTGGAGATTCACATGTCAGCGATTCTGGTGTAAAATATGTAACTTGTGTCTCTTTTTACAAACTGACCTCCGCTCCCCTCACAGACACATGGACACCTCCCTGATAGACGTGGACGTTCAGCCGACGTACGCCAGAGTCAGCGTCAAAGGAAAGGTACTCTGTGGAGGTTTTAACAGATTAGTTGATCCCCTTTAGGATTAGGAAACACTTAATTTTGAGTTCTTCTTCACACTGTTGTGGCTGCGCGCTCTGAACTTTCTGAACATCCTAAAGGGCAGCAGCAAAGATTTAGACACACCTTCAGAATCATTACTACTGTTTCTGTTAGTATTTAACAGGCAGCTGTTCATATATATATATTTAAATAATCACATTAATATAAACCTGTAACGACTACCCGACTGTTGTCTTTATGTAACGTGTGCTGATGAGGAGACTCTTCAGTCGGGGCAGCCCTCCACACTTGTGTTTGTACATTAACTTTAGTTTCTTCAGGAAAAGTCCCCACAGCTCCGGGCTCAGTTTCATTCCTCACACATTCATACTGGAAGGTGGCCAGTTTAACCACAGACTGCTGCTGTCAGCCACTGAAGGTCCTTGCTCAAGGGCACTGCGGCAGCAGTTGGCAAGGAAACATTTCTTTAATCCCGACAGTTTGGGGATTCTAACCAGTGACCTTGAAGCCTTCACCAGCGCAAATATTAATGAGTTTAAATCCTGTTTCTTATGGTGAGTAAAGGTGAGAGATATATTTAGATGGAGGGTTTCAGAGCTCTGGTTTCTCACTGTAAGAAGTCAAAGATCTCCTCCTGCACGCTGCCGGCGCTCAGCCAGACTGTGAACATCACACTCTGCAAAGTCACAGCTGCTCGAACTCTGCTGTATATGCATTAAGGCATCTTCCCGTAACCCTACCTGCTCATCTGAGAACTATTTAACAATCCAAAAACAAGTGCTTTTTAAAACATGGTGGAGTCGAACCGTATTAACATCCACCAAATGTTAGGAGATAATCTGTTTGGTGAGTAAATGTCGGAGGGTTATCTGTAATTCGGCGGCTAAATGTTTGTACCAAAACAGTTTTGGTGTAATTTACTGGCGTGCTGCTTCTGTCCAGCTGTCTGTGTCAGAGTTTAACGATCACACACAACCAGATGCGTTTTAATGTGCGTCAGAAAGTCACTGAAACCCAGACCACCTCTCTGGGAGACAATGTCATACTGCTTCTGCTGATCTATTTTGGGGGTGGTCGTCATTATTCAGCAAACACAAGAGGTTTCCTGTCAGGAAAACATTTCAAGTGTTTATGCAAATGACCAAATGTTGTTATTGGAGTGGCATCTCTCTGCACAGACGAATGTGTTTTCAGCACAGAAAGGTTATTTTTAATGTCATTTTCTCACCTGTATGTGTGCAGGTCCGTTTGGATTCAACAGGAAGCCAATTCCCACCATGCTTTTAGTGAATTTGAACTATTGAGAGTATATTTAATGTGTTTATTCACCACAAACAGCCAAACAGAAGATCACTGTAGCCAAAAAACACTCAGAAACTCACCTTTTTCCTCTTTTCTCTGCACCTTTATAGAGCAAAAGCTGCTCCCGCTGCCCTCTTTATCAGGATAAAATCCTCTTGCATCTTCATGTCTTCACGCACTGCCTGCTAACATACTAATCTGTCAGCAGTACAGAGTGATTCATGTGATCACAGGCTGCTGTGGATTCATGAAGATGATGCTCGTTGCTGAGTCGGGGGCAGAGAGGGGTTGTGATGGATGACGAGTCAGATTTAGAGCAAATAAAAGGCTGTCAGAAGCTGCTGCGTCATCAAACCTGTTTCTGACTCTGACATTCTGATACGTTTATGGAGAGAGTTTATTACAGACGCTCAACTCATTTCCCGGCTGTGAACTCCAAAATGGCAGCTGTCCAGAGCGAGAGCCTTTTTCTCCAGTAAATCCAAAAAAGTGTTGATGTAAATAAAAGAGAAATGACCTGAGTGTCAGCAGAAGTTGAGCGGTATTTATCTGCGGGAGGTCTGCTGACGTTTATTGTGAAGGGAGGCTCAGTTCTGCATGTCAACGTAAGCTCAGGCTTTATACCTCCAGAAGGGCCAGAAGCATAAAACTCTCTGAAGACTGAAAGATCTAAACGTATTCTCTTTGCCAGATTCATAAAGCTGTGCGTTCACCTGATTCTGCTTTATAAATCTCAGTAATTGTAGAGCAGGCTCACATTGAACTCCCACAGTTCCTGTAAAGGGACGTTCAGATGAACTTTATAGGTGAGTGAATATTTTAACTAATAGATATCAGCATGAAACTTCCCCAGCTGATCACTCACTTTAACACAATTATTATTATTGTTCTGACTTCTGTTTTATATTTAAATATGCAAATTAGGCATTATCCCATTTTTAAGATGGTTAAAAGACAAAAGAGACATATAGTCACATCTTAAGTTAGCTAACTGGCGATTGATGTAAATTAGTTAACTAGTTTACTAGTGTTTTGCATATTAAGTTAGTTCATGTTAGCAAAACATAGCTAATCTACATCAGTTGTTAACTGTTACTTAACTAGCATTTTGTTACAGAGCAAAACACTAGTCATTGTTAGGTAGGTAGTTAGCTTTTTGCTAACATAAGCTAACTTAATATGTGAATTACATGTGGTTGTCTTCAACCTAGATTAGTTTAGCCTATTAAAGGACCAGAATGTGGGATTTACCTCAAACTACGCCCCTATCTAGAGCCAATGTTTGTTTGTCCCTTCTGGGCTACTGTAGAACGGTTCAACATGGCGGACCCGCTCCCTCTGTAGATAAAAACGATTCTCATTTTCAGGCAATTAAACACTAATGAAAACATACCTGTGAATATTACTAGGGCTGTAATCTCCCAGTCGACTAATCGATTTATTGGTCGATACGTTCTGGCTCGACCAAAATTCTGATTGGTCGATTTTTTGCCGTGTTAATTTCATCAGGTGGAAAGCAATTGCTGTTTCACAGGTAACAGTCTCTAAACCCCTGGAGACAGATTGAAAAAGTACTAAAGGCCTTGGTCTGGTGGTTTGCTGAATATTTATTTAATTGTGAGCGTTCGATTTACAGTCAGTCCTCCTCTACCATGTCAAAGACATCAGCAGTGTGGCAGCATTTTACAAAGTAACAAGTTTTCAAGCAACAGTTTGCATATCACAGCTCGACTACAAACATGGCATATCACCTAAAAACAGTAAGCTAACTCTCTTAGGTTGCCCGTCTGTTTAGTAGGCTATATGAACATATCAGAATTGGCATATTAGCATCCCCCAGACACACCCAGACCACACTGGATGTTAAGACCCCATCATCCAAATGCAAAAATAATATCACGAAGGAATTGTCGACTTATTGCTCAGGTTGAGGCCCATCTGTTGTGGGGGCCGAGGTTTTAAGAACTGGTTAAAAGTTTTGGAACCCGATATACAGTGCCAGCACGGCACACAATCATGCATGCACTAACCGCAAAATAAGGGACTCAAAGAAAGTTTCAGAGTTAAGACAACAAAGCGAGGCCTGAGCTTGACCACAATATGTGGACATCTCTAAGAATGGAGTCCTGTATATTCCCCTTTTTTTTAATGGAGAAAGGAAAAAAAAAAGTTTTTTGCTTGAGCCAAAAAAAAAAGAAGAGGCGGACACAAAAAACATTTGACATTGAAGTTCTGATGCCTTTGGAATTCCAGAAGCAAAGAGAGTTTCTGTTGTATGTACAACCTAATATGGCACTCTGTGTGGAAACACTAAAGGAATCACATGAATGGCCAGAGATGCAGGGCATCAGGTCGCCAAACACTTGCCTCTGTATTAACGCTGCACTCAAACAAGAGCCAATTTGTCGTGCCGTGGCTGCATCACGTCATCTGGTGGGACATTTCAAAAAGGGGCACAAACAAAAACTGGCTAAAACAGAACAGAAGCACAAAATGTCCCTCAGCATGAACTAATTCAGTGTGTCACACATTGGAACTCAACATTTTCAATGTTGGAGCACTGCTGGAGCAACGCTGGCCCATTACCGTAGTGCTGTCGACCCAAACTTTACGAAAAGCACAGCAGTACACTGGAATGCGGTAGAGGACATAAAATGTCTGAAACCATGACAACCCTGACCGAGCTGCTGTCTGAAGAGGACAACACGCCCTGTCTGCAACAGTACCCATGCTGGCAAACTTGAAAAAAAACGTCACCTGGCCATCACGGATGATCAGCCCCATTAAAAAAATGAAAACAAGCTGGTAAAAATTACAGTAGGTGGAGTTTAAACACCAAATGATGATGGCTAACAGTGTATACATACAGCGCATAGTAAACCCTCGTTTTAAGCAGCTGTCTTTTCTTATGAAAAAAGAAGGGGTATTTATTTTTTTTTTGGGGGGGAGGCAGACGGGGTTTGTTCCGCGGAGCCAGGCGGGGGGGGGGGGGGGGGGGGGGGGGGAAAAATTAAAAAAAAAAAAAAAAAAACAAAAAAAGGGAAGGGTTTTTTTTTTTTTTTTGGGGGGAGGGGGGAAATTTTTTTTTTAAAAAGAAGGGGGGGGAAAAAAAAAAAAAAAAAAAAAAATTTTTTTAAAAAAAAAAAAAAAATTTGTTGTGGAGGGGGGGGGGGGAAAAAAACAAAAAAAAAAACCGGGGCCGGGCCGGAGTTGGGGGGTGACTGCTCTGTACCAAAACCACGCCTGAACCATTTTCTCCAAGGCAGGATTTATTGTAAAAAAAAAAAATTTCCCCTTCCAAAGTACGTGGATATGCTGGTGTTTCTCAACACAACACAAAAAGTGTGGATAGTTTGTGGACAGTGGACACTGATGTACTCTCTGTGAGTGAGTAGCCATTTGTTTATTTCATTATTTTTACATTATTTCGTTTTGGACATTTAATAACATTTTATATTTTTGTACATTTATTTGAAATACTTGTGGACTCCATTTGATTTATTTATTTTTGTATTTGTTCTGAGCTGAGCCTACCTTGTTGTTGTTATGCACTTTATTTTGTTTCGGTTTAAAATTTGGCTAAATAACATGCAGTACTTTTATGATTCCTTTTTATTATTGTGCACATTTATTTCTAGTATTATTTATTGGATTTGGGCACTTAATTATTATTATTATTTTTTTGGAGCCTAATGCGCAATTGCACTGTGCCCACTGTTTGTATTTGTTTTGAGCCTATGTTTTATTTTTCAGTTATGCGCTTTATTTCGTTTCTGCTCTCGTCTTGATCTGGTTTGTTTAATAAATATAATTTTTTTTATTAAAGTGGACGTGCCTTTTGTGTTTGAGAGTAAAAGCTTTAAGTTAATAGTCTATTCGTGTGTCAGTCGCGAAGCTGAGCTCCTATGTTCAGCCTCGCTCTGTGCGAGGACATGCACAGAGCGGCTGAAATGATAGTGTCTGTCAGACTTTTAGTAGAAATTTCAGGACTTCAATCAACCAAGATTTTCTTTGGTTGATTACATCCCTAAATATTACACCTTTAATCTAACCACTTAATGGCGTTTATATCATTTATACCTGTGGCCACCGATGTCCATATTTCCCTCAGCATGTTAATCTCCCAGCAACAGACCACAGCAACCTTTAAGCCTGATTAAACAGCTGTTTGGTTGCACATAAATCCAAGAGGTGTCATTTTTTTTTGTCTCCAACCCTCCAGCAAACAAATTATGAATACAGAAGCTGTGCAGGTTTGGAGTTCTTCCGCCCTCGCTGCCAGAGTCCTGAATGTCATGGCTGCGCTTCCAGCAGTTAGCGTATTTATGGATGGTTGTTTTATGCCAGGGGTCAGCCTGATGGGACGGGAGGTGTGATTTACGCGGCGATACATCAGCCCAGGCCTTTAAAATTCGTTCTAAATATGAACTCATTTGGAGGAACTGACCGGAGGAGTCATCTGCGAGGCGTGTATATCAAGTCAGCCACGATCAGCAGCGGGACGGAGGAGTTAGAGGACAGCTGGAGTCCTTCTCCTCTGCCTGCTGTTACCACGGTTTCCCCCTAAATTAAATAAAAGTAGATTGAAAAATGAAAAAGTCTAATTTTACGCCCATTTTTCCTCCCACATGGGTCATTTAGGTTTTCATAGGATTTCGCTCCAGTGATTGATTGCCGCCGTTCTCAGTTGGAGCTATTCTGGTCGCGCCCCCCAGTCTTTTCTGGAAAGTGTACCTATAAAAAGGGCCCCTAATGATTAAAGTCATTTGACACACTGGGACGGCGGTGGTGCCAGATCAGCGCATTAATCTTGCTAATTAAAGTTATGAATAATTTACTCTGCAGATATTTCAGATGGTTCTGCCGGCCGAAGTGAAGCCCGACAGCTCGACAGCTCAGAGGTCCCAAACCACCGGACACCTGGTCCTCACCATGCCCAGGGTAGGTACAGTGACACACCTGAGCCAGGTACCGGGGGCTGCTGAAGGCTGCTGGGTGGGGCGAGAGGAGTCCAACTTCTGTGGATGACTTTATAGTTTTCCAGTTAGTTGAGTTACTTTGTGCTTTTATTGGCAAATACAGACTGAACTTTTAGCAATGCTAATAATGTGGAAACAAAGATGGCGATGGCAATCAATTTATTTTCAAGAATAAAGTGGAAATTGAGAATAAAGTAGAAATCGATGCCCTTTATCTGTTCTTCTTGGGTGAATCTTAATCACTTTGCCAACACTTCTCCCATCAGATCAAAATGTACTTGCTCAACATGTTTGGGGCTTAGAGGAGTGATTCCCATCCTTTTCCCTTAAAGATCCCCCTCCAGACATACCTTAAAAATAATGACCCGGGTGCTTCAGTCCCTGAACTCATCCTGCCTTTATTAGGGACAGATGTTTAATTCCTTTAGGACAAAACTCTCTAATTCTACTGAGTTTTGTTCAGCACATTTGACAACTTAAATTTCAGGTCGCCAGCGTACAAACAACAAGCAACAGACAATATTCAAAGCTTGGATTAGTTCTAATGAAACCCACTGATTCTTTTGATCTGTGGACTCTTACAGACACAAACCGTATGGTACAGACTTTAACATATAACATAAGCACTTTTTTTCTGTCTCTCTTGATTATCATGCAGGTAAATCTGAATTAATTTTACTTTGGTTCTCATAGTCGCTGTAAAATGAACTAAAGGGTTGAACTGTGGAACTGATCTAACAATGTGCATCATGTCCATATTGTTTAAAAAAATGTTTTTTTATAAAATCCAGACCAGGCTTCTAATGGAGAACTGCCTTTATTTGTCAAAGCTTGTAGCCACACCAGGCTAGTAAAGGAGACATATTTGCTTTTATTAGAAGTTTTTTTTTTGCTTTTATTATTTAGCTTTCCACTTTCAGTAGATGAGTGTGAAAACATCCTTCTAGGGTCAAACTCAGACATCATTCAAACATCTCACTGTAGGAACAAGAACAAACACTGATTTCTGACTGGAGGGAACTTTAACACATATCTGTTCCTTTATTAACCTGACTCTGTGACATATCTTATAGATATTTCATATTATATTCAAAACTGTACAATGAACACAAACAGTGAGTGTGTAAAACTAGCGATTTTGTTGAATTTTGAGCAGATTATTTCCTGTTTATTGAACTTGTTATTCAATTCTCTGTCTGTAATATGTATTTTTTAAATCATTTTTAACAATCATACAGACTTCAGGCTCTTCAGATTCAGTGTTTTATTCTAATTGTTTAGCTCTTTGGTTGTTTTCTAACACAAGGTGAGGCTGTTGATCACACAGTGAATAATCTGTGAATATAGACCGTGTTCAGATCTTCAAAGTTAAATAATAATCTAAACTTTAAAAATAACTATTTCCTTTGATACTGAGATATTGGCCATCTGTATATTTTTAAAAAAGCTTAAAATTAAGAGGGCCTTGCGACCCCCTGTGAAGTTTTAGCGACTCCTAGTGGGGGCCGGGACCCCCCGAGATTATTCTTAGATCTGTGTGTCGGTTCCTTCCTTCCAAACACTCCTCAGACTGTGAATTAAAACATGCTTTTAGTTAAAACTCCACTTTTTTGAATTTGAATTCTCTTTAATCACTTTCAGTCACAGCCTGTAAAACCCTCCCAGTTTTAAACTAGGTCATGGGTCTGCCTCATTATAATCCTTATTATATTCTAATACGCACTATATTCATTCAGGAAACAGTTTGGCTGATATGTATGGAAGTCCATTTACGCCAATGTGACAAAAAAAGAAGTCATTATAATGACAAACTTCTTAAAATATTGACTTTGTGATACCAAATCTTTATTTTAAGACGGTTTCTCATTATAATAACTCACAGAATCTTTTTTATTCCTCACATTGGCTTCAATGGGCTTCCATAGACATGTCCAATTACAGCTGTTTGGAGATTTAGTGTTTTGCCTCTAGGGGGCGACGTCAGAAAGGAAATGATGAAAATATGAAACCTAATAATTCTCTTTGCAGGAATACTTTTAATGTCTCATTAAATTACAAGCTCACTGATGAACGTCTGACCGCGGGCGGCATTCTGTGATTGCTGCCGGTGAGGATCCGGCGTTTTGGTGCTCTGGGGTGTAATGAAGGAACTCTTTATAGTGTCTATAAAGGGAGGCAGGTGCTGATACGGCAGAATCAGAGCTGCTACTATTAATCCTCCATATGGCTTCTGATACATCCCGCACCAGAGTGCCAGTAAACAGCTCGGGAAGCTGTTTGCAGAGTAAACACGCCGTTTCCTCTGATGTGTCTTTTTAGGCTGAAGGTGAAATCAAAGTGACAAAGACCGTCCAACGTCCACCCAGAGTGCGTCGAACCAGCTCATCTGAGGACAGTAAAAGGTAAATAATATTCTCTCTCTACGACAACAGATGAAAGAAATTGAACATACAGACATGGAAATGACTGGAAATGACTGACAAACAGACCAGAAGTATAATAATACAAATGTAGGAACAAGCTGTTTATTTACATTAAACTAATTCAGTGTTTGCAAAAATCTCTTTATTTCTTTATTAACAAAGACCAGTACGTTTTTTGGAATTAAAACTTATTTTAATTCCAAATGAATCGCTTTTTTGGAGGTCTTAACATGCTCAAAAACTCATGAAACTTTGCACAAAATTCAGCGTTTACCAAAATGTAGGTATTCTTTTGTTCCCGCACATGGGCGTCACAAAATGGCTTAGCCACGCCCCCCAGAATCAGCCCCCAAGGCACTTCACTTGCCTTTCAGGGCTTCCATATTAACATAATACAGTCAGCATCAGCCGTGTTGTGGACACCGTAGTTTGTCCTTCGAACCTGGAGGGTGAAGCGAGGGAGTTGCAATCTGCAACTACACCACTAGATGTCACTAAATGGTCCACACTGGTCCTTTAATTAATCAGTGTGAACATAAATCAGTTTGGTTTTAATTAGTTATTTGATGTTATAAAAGGGGGTTTTATGACATGATTGACAGCTTGAGACGAGTGTGTGGGAGGGACCTTGATACTCACTGCACAGACGCAGTGCCCATATTCAGGGTTTTTGGCTTTCTTTTTGGTGCAGTTGGAGGAAGTGGAGACGTGTCGTACATCTTCATGTACTGTCTGTCAGTGATTTGGACTGAGAGACCATAAAACTCTCAGTAAAAAGGTACTGTTTGAATTCATCCAACCTATTCAAATACTCAGTTTATGTTAATTTACTCGATAAAGCATTAAGTTTGTAATATTAATGAAGCATAAAGAGAGCTGTGGCTGCAGGCAGCTGTGTGTTTGTATCAGTCGAGTGTTGGTCTTTGTTTGGCCTTCAGTTGAATACGCACATATTCAAATGCCTGCGGCTTATCAGGTCCCTGTTGTCCTAATTACAGACTCCTGTTGTATTTTAAACGCTGTGTGATTTGTTTTATCAGCCATGTTGCTGGATGGTAGCGCTCTCCCTGCTAATGACTCCACACTGGCCACAGATAACCTTGACCGGAGCTGCAGTATCACACCCTCTCAGTTCCTCACATTCAGTAAAATGCTGTTAATCTGGGGTTTAGTCCAAGCTTCAGGCTCTAGCTGCGTCTATTATTCTTATTTTGGATTCATATCTATCTTTGAATGTGACCCAGACTGAGATCCTGTACTGGGAAAGAACAGCTATATATATTTATTTTCTTCTATAACCACATTTCAGTTACAATGTGAGACTTTTCTGAGAACACATACAAGAAATTTATATCTGGTTTTAAAGGACCAGTGTGTAGGATTTAGAGCCATCTAGCGCTGTAGTCCAATATCCAATCAATCAATACAGCTGATCTGTAATAATAAAGGTTTCATTTAGAACTACGAATCCATGAAGTGTTGGAACTGTTTTGAACTCCTCTTGTGTTTGATGACCTTCGTGAACCAAAATCTGTCTGGTTTTCTTTTTGTTTCTCTGTTTTCTTTGTTACTGTTTTGTTGTTCAGTCTTGTTTTTTACTATAAAAATACATTTTCCTTTCTTCCAGGTAGTCGTTGGTTTCCATTATTTCCCAAACAGTAAAATCAATCAATGTGCAGAGACATGAAACTTGCTTACGTTACATTAGCACTGGGGGGAAAAACAGTGGAGACTTTTGGAATCAATCTGCACTTACAACTGTAATGTCACTGATAGAAATAAAAGCAGACATGATGTTTACTGTGATCGATTTGTTTTGAAGATAGATGCTACAACGTGTTTTGGAAAATGGTCAGCACTATTCTGAAGTACTATAAGTTCTCAGAGCGGTTTTCAGATAAAGTCTCCAATGATAGCTGGATAACCACATAAAGGTTGGTCTCTAACCAACTACAGTACTGCAGACACAATCAGTACAACAGTCCCCTCATTTTAACTTCAAACTAATGTCAGAAGTTTCAAATTAAATTCCAGGCTTTTGAGCCACAGGAAGCCTTTTATTTTGAAAAACCTGCAGGAAGAGTCCCGTTGACAGTCAAAGAAATCAGGTAGATAAGTAGATAGAACTGGTATTAGTGAATTAAAACAATATGTCAGTCAAAAATAGACAATCACAATAGCAGCAGAGTTTAATGGAATTAGAGCGTTAGAAATTTATACAACCCTGAATTTACAAAAACAGAAAGATGTTTTACTGAATAATGATTAAAATATTGATAGTTAAAGTTCATTCTTGACTTTGTAGTAGTAGTAGTTTGTAGTTTGACTAAATAATCGTAACTCAAGGTTTAGCAGCCTTTTCCAGAGCTTTCACCTGCATCTCATGGTCATCATCAGCAGATGGAGTCGGCTCAGCTGCTTATACTTATAATCTACTTATAAAACAAGAGGAATTAGAATAAAGGCCTGCCTCTAATATAAGAGGAGATAAGAGATAAGATTAAAATCTGTTGGACAGATTACTCAGATTAGAAAAAGGTGAAATCATCCAAATAAACAGACGTATTTTCACCCTTTTTTTAAGTAAGATTTTATGACTCAGCAGTAACATGAATTATTTCTGGTAGCTCTTCCTCAGTGGAGACTGAACCATGACGACTGGCTCGGTGAGGTTTGGTTTGGATTGGCTCAGAGATCACCTCTTAATGACCACATTAGTCCACATTGCTGTTTGACTGAGCTCCGCTTTCTTCTCCACGTCTGGAGGCGCCTGCGCTCGCTGTTGCACTATCATCATTACCGTTTTATGACCGGGAGCCGCTTCTTGTCATTCATCTGGCCCCATCAAACACAGTAAAGAGCCCCGCTGCAATCCTGCATCCTCAAATTAAACATCCGATAAAAATGCTAAGCTGCTCCTGCACCACGGCAAGGTGACAGGCGAGTTATTGCACCATTCGGACATGAGTAGGGGCGACCTTTGACCCCGAGCTTACCCGCAGATTCTATATTCAACCTCTGGCAGGGATGGAAATGGATCTGAAGGCCATGATTAGGTTTGAAGTGGAGTTGCCTGATGACACAAGGCAGGGCAATGTGTGAACTGTATCATGTAATGGAAAATCAAACATATCTAAGACCCACAGCTCACTGAGACGACGTCCAAAGTGGTTGTGAAAGGTCAGAGGTCAGGGTCAACTGCAAAGCAAACTCATGACGAACTAAATTAGTCCATTCAAATTTCCAAGAATTTAAGGTAACATCTTCAGAAGCTCAGAGATCTGACTTACAGTGATTTAAAACAGAAACAGAAAACGATTTGGCAATTATTGGTGATTTTCTATTGATCAACCAATCAATCAATCAATCAATCGACTAATCCTTTCAGCACTGTCCGCAGCTGTTTGCAAATTAATATTTCTCATAAGAAATAATAAGAAATGTTAAGAAATACATTTCTTTTATTATTGCTCACAACACTAACTACAAGCATCATCAGCATATTAATGAAGTTCAGTGATCTGTTAAAATTCTCCAACCGTCAACAACAGTCAGCGATTGACGATATATTGCTGATATACAGTATTTGCCCGTGTGTGTACTGGGCTTAAGAGATGAGCAGCAAGTTCACTACGTCCAACAACCTCTAACAACTTTAATAAAAGAAATAAACTCACCAAATGTCAAGAAAGGAAAATAAAAACACCTGTTTTCCTGATTAAGCAGGTCCTCTCCCTGCTGTGTCCTCGTCTTCCCCAGAGTCAGAGTCCTGGTTGGAGCCTCCGTGAATCACCTCGTTACTGTATTCTCTGTTGTCCAACTAGTGGAAATAAACCTTTAATACACTGAAGTCAGATGTGACTATCGAACCTCGAACTAAGCCACTCTCATTCTTCAGAGGCAGAACATTAAGTTAGCTGAATAAAACGTCCAAAAAAACCCAGCCGATAGCTCATGTATTCGTCCAATTGCCCGACCCTGGGGGGCACAGAAAGGCTCTCATAATAATGCATGAGTCAACCCTACACATAATATATTGACCCAGTGATGGCGTCCCTCAGGGCCGATTTGATTATCTTTGTGTACAGAAGAATAACCACAGTGTTCAACCCCCGACCCCCCTCCTGACCCCTGCAAACTTTACAGCCAATGACTTTATCGATACTGCCCCGTCCACGGTCTCCAGCTCTCTCATTATAACACCACCTCTTTCTGACCATAAGGCCGAGACGGCCCGCAGACCTCATTACCCGTGAGATACGACGACCAGCAGGCCTCCGCCGTGGGTGGCCCATTACAGGGAGCCATGTTTGGGCTTCCTAACCAGGGAGGGAATCAGTAGAGGAGCCCTGGACTAATGACGCCATCCATCTCCCATTGAGAAGTGCTGACCATTAGGTTTACCTGCCCGTTAGCACAATGAGTGTTAGAGCTAAACTTAGACTGCAAGATGTCGTCAATCTTTAACCCCGAACCCTCTGTTACAGCTCCTCATTTAAATTAATAAACTGTAGATTCATTTAGCTCCTTTATCAGTTGAAGGAAACTTTTATGAACAGAATACATTTTAAGGATGGGAACTTTTCACGTAGAGCTGCAAATATTAGTCAAGTTGTGAGCTATTTAATTAATCGCTGTGACTATTTTGACTAATTTTATTAAAGGTTCCATATGTAACTGTCATTAAATGGTTGTTAGTAGTGACACCAGTGGCTGTTAAGTGAACTGCAGTCAGCGTCCTGTTGCTCCATACACAGTTTGTGTCAGTGTACTCAATTTCGTTTGGAAAACCAAAATCAGCTTGTTTCCCGACCACCATTTATGTAGGGGAACTAAAAACTGAGAATGGGTCGTTTTCCTTTTCTATTGTCAAACAAAAGAAACAGAAAACTGTTGTTTTTTCTTGTTCTTTTTACAAACATTGGCTATAGATCGGGCTGTCGCGTTTTTCGCGGCCAGACTTGGAAGGTGAGCAGTTTTTAGTTGGTCGCAATCCAACCAACTAAATCCTACACACTGGTCCTTTAACTTTCATCTTAAATGTGATAACTTGTTTTATATCAGTTTTATTCCTGTATGAACAAAATATATTTTGGACTGTTGAAAAGCAATTTGAGGTTCTCTTATAACAGTTTTCTTAGCCTGGTTCCAGACTGACATAAGCCAATATAATAGCTAATCAGCCAATATTATCTCATATTACATGTAAAAATGCCATTTAACATACAGTTTAAATGTTAATGTGTTTTCAGAGCGAATTCATCCGAAGCTCAGTGAAATCAATCAGGAAGTGCGACTGATAACGATAAATGTCCTTGTGTCACAGCTCTCCACCGGGACCTGATATCAACCTTTTGTGAGTCCATGTGACTTGTTTCATCTGGCTTTTATCTCGATGTGAATCACATCCACTCCAAACCTAATCCTCAGTGGATCGGTGGCCACAGACACTAAACAGAAGCAGCTGATGTTGTTAAAGCAGCCGATTACAACTCACTGAGGTCACCGGACCGAGACTGATAACTGATACTGGAGCTTAGTCACACTTATCTGCTCCTCCTCGTTCATACAGACTCTCACATCAGCACCGAGTTTACTCAGGGACCTATCTGCCATTGAGGATGCTCAGGTCCTACATTCAGGGACCGAGGGGAGAGTTTATTTCTCTCGTAGACAATATCAGGTGACAGTTGGATATGAAATCTAAAACAACCATAAAAACCAGAAGTTCAACCCTTACAAGTGCGTTTTTGATCAAATACATCATTCACTGAGCTTAAATTCTGTTACATGCGCAATTAATCCAAGTATTACTGAAATATGGCCAAGTGCAATTTGCAAATCACAGACGCTATAGTTTTTTAATAAAGATAAAATGTGACAGCGTTATAAGGACGTACTATAGTGCTGAAGAGACGCCCCCGAAATGTTTGACATTGTATAGAAAAGGACAAAAAAGAGTTTGAGGTGGTTTAAAAACATGATTTCTTAGAAACAAAGCTGAAATAATTCAAACTTTGATATAACATAAACCTACAGGATTGGTAAAGGGTTCAGGAGAGTCCTGTGTGTTTTTAGGCTGATTCAGGTTCAGTATGTTTAACCTGAACCATCTTCAGATGACTCACTGTCTGGCAAATAACATGGTAATTATCTAACAATTTCACCTGAACTCTTCCAGAAAGGATTACAGCTGCAATCTGGTTCTGATTATATGGAAAACAGAGAAATAAATTATTTCAGATGCAGTTTATTTTTATTCCAGTGATTAACTGATTGATTTTTTTTGTTTTATAGTAAACTGATTATCTTTTAACCAACTGTGGCAGATATTTTTTACTATTAACTGACATTTTATAGACCAACCTATAAACTGATATGATGTAAATAGATGGATTAATTAAAAATGAAAAGACTAGTTCTTTGCAGCTCTTATTTCCTTGAGAACGTATTCATTTAAATACATTTAATCAACCAACTAAATCAATGAATAAAATATGAACAATTGAAGTAATTAAAACATTTTTGGAGACTTAGTTTTCATGTTTGTGGTTCTGGTTCAGCTCAGACCGTCAGTGAAGCTGCTGGATGCTCCTGAAGTTTGGACTCTGTTATACCAAACATATCCAGTCTAAAAACAGACGCTCGCTTCCTTCTTCTACCAGCAGGAAAACGCTCTGCATTACTTTCCCATTTTCTGAAAACGAGCTGGTGATTTTCTTGCTGCAGAGTAAATGAAGAGGGGACGTATACAGCGAGTGTCCTCTGGCAGCTTTATTCCCCTCTCAATAAACAAGTGGCACAATGTACAGAGCAACACAGAGTCCTGCTGCTGTTTATTGTCTGCTGCTGTGCTCGAGATTAAATTCTAATTGCTGCGCTCTTCTTGGAGAATCAGCACATTTCATTAATATCAGCTCGCCTTTGGCGCCCGTGTGCAGACTGATACCTGCAGTATGTTTACACTGCAGCCTTTATTGTTAAAGTACATTTAAATATCTGCCTCCAATGAGATCGACCAGCTGCCTTTTCAGGTTTTAGCATTAGCATTTTTTTAATATTAGAGCGGATGCACCTTCGTAGCATTGTTTGTGGTGTTAAACCAACGTCATAAAAGTTCCAGTGTTTAATACCTAATACCTAAAGCAGGACTGTCAGTGTTTACCCAAAAATCATGAATTTCGAATGACACCACTCTGTAAAAACATACTGTAAAGACTTTACTGGGGTTAGCTTCCTGAGGCTTTGACAAAAAATGATATGGAAATGAATATCTTAATTTATCATTGTTAAAGGCCTAAAAGGATCCTTTCATCCTCATAAAAGAAATAAAAACACAGTCTGAACATTTCGTCAAAATGTGCGTCATACATTACTTCCTGATCTGGAGCCTCTACTAGTCTCCCTCGCTAGTTCTGGACTCCAAATCCAAAAAAGAAAAGACTCAGAGGAAAATATAGAATTTAATAATTTAGGGCAGATTTGTTTGCTGACTTACAGCTATCTACACCAATGGGCCATATATCACGCTCTCTTACCGGTGATGGCATTTTTACAACGGGCCACGCTCTCTTACCGGTGATGGCATTTTTACAACGGGCCTGAAGTGCTGCTTGTCTGTGGTGGAAAACTAACATTAGCAAGTGTTGTTGAGTTCAACAGCCGCTTTATTCTTTAACCTGTCGTCTATACATTAGGTGAAAATGGCAAAACCTCCAGTCCCGCGCTGTCACACATCTCACATGGTTAACATTATCTCACACACACACACACACACACACTCAGTGATCAGATGAATCCCCGGAGATGATTTTAAAATCATTGTCCACCAACAGCTCATCCGACTGCGGCTGTGGTTCAGACATAAACTGATTAATTGGTAAATGGAAGGACTTCACTGCTGTGGGATGGAAGTGATGGGTTCAGGGGGATCAATTGGGTTTAATGGTAACATACTGTGGGGTAAAATGGACCATCATCCCCCTGGAGATTAATTTAGAATCACATTACGGCTCAAACAAGTGATTTAAAGACAGAGGAAAAGAAAAATAATGTTTAAAGGGCATTGATTGTTGGTGATTAATTGGTCCATCGACAGATAGACGAACCTCATAAGTCATTCCCTAACGAGGCTCGGCAGAAGTTGGACCAACTACATCGTCAGTCACATGTTACATGTTTTAAAGGTCTGAGCAGCAGAAAGACAAGAAATCCTTTAAAGGGATCGGTTAACGGGGAGTTTGAAGAGGGAATATGAGGGTCAGTGTGCTTCGTGGTAGATTTTCACTTTGAAATTAAAAAAGTAAAATCTGGAAACGAGCTGTTTCCCCAAGTACCATTTATATATAGAAAAAGTTTTTTTGTTTTATAAATCTTTATAAACGGTTGTAAGGAAACAGCTCGCTTTTGGTTTTCTCATTTCAAAACAAAAGTCTGTTTACCGCAGAGTACACAGACCACAGTAGACGGAGGTCTACAGAGCTGCTGAAAGACGGATTTTACCCACGTAAAAAAGGCCCACCGAAACAGTTCATACCAGTTTAAGTCTACGTTATATTAGGAATATTTTCACTGCTTTACTTCGCCATGAGAATCAGTAGAATCACTGTGTTCCTACTAGAGCTTCACATCACATCCGGGTTATCATTTTAATAGATTTTTCTTTCTTTAAAATCAAGCTACAAAAGACACCATATGTACCTCATCTGTAATGTCTTATCCCTCTCATCAGTGATAGCACATATTCAATATTACAAAATATATTCAGATGTTTTTGTTTTTGTTTTTCGCTGACATCTTGCAATGGCCTGGTCTTTAGCTAGTGCTAATAGCTCTTGGCATTATGATCGTAGAAGGTGTTATTGACTTCTGATGTTTTCACTCTACAGAAGAAATACTGTTCCTGAGAGGTTGGAGGTGGACCCCAGTAAACGCACAACCATTGACCTCGCCAACATCGTACCACATCGGAGCACCAAAGAAGGTCCTCTGGAAACATCCAGGGTGGCTCCACCTTCCACAGCAGGTCACAGCAGCTTCTCTGAAGGGTTTGTGGACGACCCTGATGTCCCCCCACTCATTTAAGACTAAGGAAGGACCCAACCATTCTCTAAGTCTTGCTTATGAAGTGATGTGTCCTGTAACCTTTCCTGCCTAAGACTGGGAAGCTTTGGCTGCTTGTTTTAAACATTATTAACCTCTTCAGACCAACAATCAGTCAGAACTGAGTGACAATCAACCAAGTCACTAATGGCTGTAGAACTAATGAGAAGTAGAAATACTAAAACCAATGAGGTTTTTGTAATTAATTGGACCTTTGGAAAACTTTGTGTTTCCTGTCACGGTTCACTACCACAATCAATAAACCTGCAATCCACTGACGACATGTAGCTTCCTCTGATTTCCACCTCGACACCCCTCCACTTGTTTTCAGCTCTTGGACGTATAAGAACCTCCATACAAAGAAACTGTGTGCAGTTTCCTGCTCATCTTATGTGAACTTGTAATATCGTTTCACATGTAGTTATTTATTGCTGGTCAAAGACTTGAAGAAACTTGAGACAATAGAAGCATTTTATTCCCGACCTTAATAGCCTGTTTACAGCTGTGATCAGATCCCAAGTGGACACAGAGACGTATTCTGATGAACACCACTTACCAAAGTCGTCTGAATGGAAGCTCGTTTCCACTAATGTGATAGAAAAAAAGGATTCTGTAAGTTGTTATAATGATAAAGTTTGTCAAAGTTTCTCTAGGTCATAATATTGAGAAGGTTTCTCAATATTATGAGAAAGTTTGTTGTTATAATGACTTACAGAATCTTTTTACATTGACATAAATGGGCTTCCATAGTTCTGGGACACATTTGACCACACACATAGAAATACCACCTAAGCAACAGAAACATGCTGTCTGTTTAGTTCACTATAAAGTAAAATATGTGTTTGGGCTCTTTTACACAATTCATAAATGAGGAGAAACTTTATAAACTTTGTGAAACACTGGCGACGACACATTGTTCATTATAGTAGTAAATTTGGCAAACTTTCTACATGAAGTTCTTTGTTTCTTTTTGTAAAAACATTGTGTCTGTTTGTCCAACCTCCTCTACTGCTGTCCAGTGTGAGGCTGACAGCCCCGCCATCAGGGCTGCTGACAGTGGAGGTAAAAGCAGGAACAAATAGTCAAATCTTTGTATTAAACAGCCAAAAAGACACTAATCACAACTGGAGACGCATTAATAATGCCAGGTGTGAACTGACATACTAATGGTGCATCCCCATCAAACATTACTCACACAAGCAACGCAAGATGAATATATATTAATATAAACGGTGGTATGAGCCTGAAATAAACAGATTTTCTTCTATTAATGTCAGTAAATGTGAGCAGCTCTGTCTTCAAACACCCGACGATAGCTCACATTTTGAGCTTGAAGTTCAATTGTCGCCTGGTTCAAATTTGCATTTATTAACGTCTATTTGGGTCTTTGCATTGACTTTGTGATATTATCAAAATAATTGTATTCGCCTCTGGTTGAAACACACCAATACTGCAGGTATAAAACACCAGTTTTTACTGAAAATGTCTCAGTGCCTTAACCTTAACCACAGAATACAATTACAGGTTAAAGCTGCATCTTTCACCAGATATTCAGCCTTACCCAGTAGATATACAGAGATGATATTATTCTTACCGAACTGAAAGGTTGCACGGTGATTTCAGTGACTTTAAACCCTGATGTTGGTTTTCAAGAACAAAGAAAGCTTCAGGGGGTAAAATAAGTTTTATTCTGTGTTACTTTTGCAGATGTTTGGTTTCTGCAGCTGGAAGAGCAACCCTGCAGAAAGCTGGAAAATCAATCAGCCCAGTACTCTCTGCCTGTGGCCCATTTGTGTGTTGTTCTTCGCTCCGTTGTGTTTTCTCTTTCCTTGTGAAGCTCCTCCCGAGCGCCCTCCTCAAAGCTCAGCAACCGATATTCTGCCAGACTTTGATCAGAGAGGCTCCTCTGTGGGCCCAGAGGACACTGGTCCAAACACACTCCGAAGCTTGTTCATCTCTCCTTGAAACTCCGCCAAAGTCTTCCTCGCTCTTCACTTCCCTCTGAGTTGTCACCCGAAAAGCTCGAAGGTCACGACTCCGTCTCCTCCTCCCTCCTCGCCCCCCCCGGGCAGCTCTGAGTGCCATTACAGCCACAGCGCCTCCAGAGATCATCCTGGCTGAGGAGCATTTTTCCTCCTGACAGCGTCTATATTTAACCTGCTCGAATCATCCAGCACATTCTGATTGTTGTGGTTGTTTGTTGCACGAAAAACAGCTCGTCCAGAAATAGTGTCCAGATTTATTCCTTTAGAGCTTTATTTTACTTAATTTACATATTTTAAATGCAAAAGAATCTGATTTAAAGATCCCCTACAGACATGGATTAAGGCACAATACAAATAGTCTGCTTGGACCTGGATATGTGTCTGATTTCATTTTCGCATTAAAACCCTTAAAATCTTCTTCTTCTACCTCATTTAAAATTCCAGAAACTATGAAATATGTAAGTTTAGTTAAAAATCACTGCTTCTCCCACGCTGTTGGACAGACAAAGGACGTCCCGGAGGGGCTGCGAGCCGAGCTGCTGCTAACGTTAGCTCAGCTTGTTTCTCTGATAACTTAAGATCCAGACGTCCGATGACTAAAATCCTTCATCCGGTTCAAATCTAGAGTTAAAAAGCACCAAGATCTAAACAGTGGATGGTAAAAATGTGGCTTCAGACTGGATTAACAGTCATTGTATGGCAGCTTCTGGCAGACAACCACAACGCTGACACAGGCACAAAGGGGATATGACGCCATCGACAGGCGACCGGTGAAACGCAGTGTTACCTGAATAAAATGACAGATTTGTCTGAGTTTGAACATTGTTGGACATTTGGGATAATGTAAGAACTCAACTCAACTATATATAGAACACAGAGTTTATAGACTGTAATGATTATAGATTGTTGGTCAAAACACTGTAAATACATCATCATAAACTTGATTAACACACTGTACCTGTAACCTGTAACACCTGCCTGCTGTGTGAAGTTTTCATATTTAAACACTGAAATATGAATATAAGTTTTGGACTTTATAGAGAACAACAATTATTTTCAGAAATCACTTCAACCCAGATCTGAGGACAGTAAGTTGGCAGGAGAAGCTGATCAGTGGTCTGTTGGCTGCACACACTTCCGCTCTGCCTCATTAATTATTGATCAATAATCTGTTCTGTCGTGTGCGCTGTTGCTCTGCAGATAACACACGTTGTACTCGTGTTTATTTTTTGGTTTAATGCGACCGACTAAACATGAACGCTGCCGTTTGACAACAGTCCTCAATTAGTTATCGGAGTCGTGGGAAGTGTTTCATTAGAGATATTTAACAATTCATTTAACTCCTATTTATTATCTCTCTGGGACCATTATGTCAGTGTGGTTTAATGGCTCAGTGGTTTCTGAAGTCATCCCAGCATCACACACACTCCTGCTGCTGGGTGGTTGTTTGTTGTTTCAGTGTGACAGCTGTACAGATGTTTGAGCAATTTCTAAGGATCAGATCGATGAAGTGTGTTTAAAGTAATGTGGAGAGTAAAAGTAAGCAAGAGTTTCCTTACAGTCGTTCCAAAGTGAAACCCCCTTTTGTAGCTTCAAATAACAAACAGTTATATCAGCGTGATAAGAACTACCTCACATGACAGGAACCATCTTAGGGAAATATTAGATCTTTTTATTTGTCCCATCTGCTAACATGGAGGCTTTATGGCCTATACTGCAGTCAGCCAGCAGGGGGAGATAGAGATGATTTGGCTTCACTTATGGAGAGTTATCACGTCGTCCATCTTTATATATGTCGGGGTGGAGATGTGAGATGACTACGAAAGATTCTCTGTGATGTTGATTCCCAGGAACCTAAAACCACCTCAGCTCCACTGATGTCGGTACCACTCTGCGAGGTGACTAGATTTTGGACCCTGGATGTAAATAACTTTTGTAACTAACTAATAACTCTAATTTGTCTAAGGTGTCTGCCCGCCTCTGATATTTCCAGTCGGGGGAAACCTTCACTTTTACAGCCTTTCTGCCACGACGGCGACCCTCCTTCACACCCGTCACAGTCATCCACTTATATCTCTGTAAACGGGAAGAAAACCTCCTTCCTGTGTAATCAGACCGGTGGAGATCAGAACCAGACTTTAAAGAATCCAAAGTCTTTTTTTTGTTGTTTGGTTTCTGTGTAATTAAATCCAGAGACAAAGACAACCCTGAACCACCTGCTGCCTCTCCTCTCAGTTATGTGTTTCTTATCCTGTCCGGGCTCCATCGCCGCCTCATTGATTTTTGTCTGTTGCTATGACAGCAGATGGTCCCACTGGTTTTGAATAGGCAGTGCGTCGACCTGGGTCAGACGGACCTGACTCGTAACTTTTACTCAGAGTATTTTCAGACGAATGGTTCAGAAAGTCTCAGGTATCTCATCAGAAACTGTAAATAATAACTAATAGTAACATTATTAACATTTAATACTTGTTTCACTCATCGGTTTGATGGTTTTAAGACTAATAAACATTGTGATCTGTGATTCTGCTCAAGTTGCTTCAAAAGAAATAAAAATCTCGATATATCGATATTGAATCATTTCAGTGACGAAAGGTTTTCTTACCAACTTGCGTCTAATAGATAGAAACTGACGGCAATGAGTGAAGACACCAACTCCCATGATTCCACGCTGCTTCACCACAGACCTCTTCTTTTGTTATTCTTTTGTTATTCTTTTGTCAACTTTTTCCTTTCCTGTACTTAGATATGCTACGTGCTAGGCTAATCTATGTTACAACCACATTTTGAAGATAAAAGATAAAAGTGAAACCTTAAGTTACCTAACGTTAGCAGCACACAAGATAAGTAGCCAGCTAAACTACATCAATCTTTAGCTATTATTATTTTATATATATATATATATATATTGCTTTTGTCTTCTAACTAATTAATGTGGTTCTTTTCAACATAGATTAGCCTAGCATGTAGCATATCTAAGTACAGGAAAGGAGGAAGTTGGCGGAGGTCCCAAAAGGGGCGGAGCTTAGGAAATCGATTGTAATGATGTTGTTGATTTCATCAGGTCAACTTTTTATTTTGTTACTTTGGTTTGTGACCAAATATCTGTAGAACTAAAGACTCAGCTATGTCTATATGTTTAATGCTAATTAGCACTAATGTTGTCACCTGACTGCCCCACCCATCTCCTCACCTGCCCTCCCACCCACCTTCCTCATCAGTGCTCAGGAACAAACACAACCATTTTAATTTCACCCCGCTGCTTGTTTTGTGCTTTTTGTTTAAAAGTTATC